TTTTCTGGTAAATTGGATTTTTATTTTCAGAATGACATCTCAGAACCACTAAAATGCTAATTACTTTATTTAGTTTGACTTAGAAAAGATTCTTGCTGGCACTTGATGAACCCTTTTATGATTACTAGTATATCTTCTCAAATCTCATCAGAGCTGCACAAACTGTACGAACCATGTTGTGCTTTTTTTCCTGTGCATGTCAAAAGTTATGTTTGTTACAGTTGGCTGCAAAGTCCTGACTTCCAAGGCAAAGCAGCACGTGCTGTGCAGAACACCGTCAACAGATTGCAATGGGTCACTAAGGCCCTGGTCCTGCAAGCACTTTTGTTCATGTTTAACTTCTGTGGGGCATGAGTAGTTATATGGGCAAGCACATGGATATGCTTTTGCAAAGTTAACACCTCTAGTTATTTAAAACTCCACAGCTTTTTGGCCTGTAGCTGTGAGGCTGTATCTATGAGACAAATCACAGTCAACAGCAGAGCAGCTTTTAATCATTTTGTTATGTGGGCTTCTGCAGTATTGTGTTTTAGTCTGTGCAGGAGTTTCACAAATTAATGAGGATTTTTTTTGTTGTTTTTGTTTTTTGTTTAATTTCAAATTTCCTGAGCATGAATTTCTGGATAACTCTATGAAAATATGTTCATATTCTTTTGACACTATAAGAGGAAGTCTTAAAGGAGCCTTCCATAGGAAAATAAAATAAATAAAATTGTTTTTTCTTTTAGTATTTGGTTAGGTGTTTCATGGCAAGAAGAGAATTTCTGATCAACTTCTTTATGGAAAGAATGTGTTGCAAAAATCCTTGGGGTGTGCAAGTCAGAGAACTATTGATGAGGCACCTTAGATTAATCCAAGTGTGATATAGTTGCTGAGGAGCAGAAAACAAGTCTCTGAAGCCAGAACCTAAGCTGTAAAGTAATGCTGTTGATCAAAACCAGTTGGATTTGTAACTGGAAAGCTTAGTGGATGTACCATAGCTATTTTCTGTAGAGAAACAAGAATGCCCTCCGAGAGAGAAGCTGGGTATGCTATTTCAGGTAGCTGCCTCCAGACAGCACTCTGTATACTCATTCTTGTCTAAAGTGCCTCAGAACTGCTGTCCTTCACTGGTACCCCACCAGCCCCCTTACCTTCATGAACACCTCTGTGACTCTGAGGCACCTAAACACACCTTTCAGCTGTATCGATGAAAACGCCACTCCTCTGGGTGGCAACACAGTCTTCTTGTATTTTTGAGTATGCATGACTGAAAACACACACAAAACTATGTCTGAGTGTCCACAGGACCTCTGAACTAAACGCTACATAGTAGGGACATACTGATCTACCCCACAGTGCTCTAGAACTAGGAAGGCCAGATGCAGGCTCTTTTATTTCACCAGCCAGTGTACTGAGGCAGGGACAGTTAGCTGCTATGCGCTCCTGTTCCCAGGATTAAGTTTTAAAAAGTCAAATGAACCGCAGCAGCACAGCTCCTATCTGTCTTTGTAATGATCCATAAATTTACCAGTGTTACCAGGGATGAATTGTTATCACAGCCATGCGATAACTACGAAGGAACCAGAAAGTGCACGTGTGAGTGACTTTCCAGCCCCGTGGATGTCAGTAGAGTTTCTACTGTTAAATTAATGAACAAGGATGAAAATTTGAACTGATTTATACAGCCTCTGAAGGATTTGAACTTTTAGTGTCTTTAACAAATCTGTACCATAATAAGGTCAAGAATAAAAATGAAGAGAGACAGAAAGCAGAGAGGGATCTGGTTCATACTAAATCTGGCTTACTATAATCTTGTTTCTGGCATTTTCCGTAAAAGGAAGATCCACTTCTGAAGAGGCAATCCCAGAGGAGCTGGTGCCTCAGAGTCAGAAATGGAACCAAAGAAAGTTTTGAAGATGCTGCGGTTCCATGGATGAATAGATAAGTGCTCATTTTCCAGTTTTCAGTGAGATGTACTAGAAGTGGAATTTTGCAAACTTTAGAAGCCTCATGGTATATTCACTGGATTGTTTTATGCTGTATATTAGATAAAGTAAATATGTTGGTTGTGATGTATGTTATTGCACTTGCAGACAAACAAGCTGGAGAAATGATTTGCATGGTTACATTTCTATTCTGTTTGGGGAGTAAATCCATGTAAGATGTAGTGATGGTGCTCTACTGTGAAATAATGACTGGTGGGGTTATTTCTTCTTAATTGTATAGTGAATAAATTGAGACAGTGCTAGATATTGCAGTGGGTAGTGACAAAAATCCAGAAAAAAAGGTGACGCTCCTAAAATATATATATTGTAGAAAAGTGTGAACAATCTTTGTGCTGTTGTGGTTGTGCATTGTTGGAAGAGGAAAGGTTAGTCCATTCTGTCATTACTGCCTACTTTTTTCTGTTTTCTAACTCAAATACCTTATTTTGAATCAAATCCTGATCCAAATGATATAATTTGGAACTTTGCTGTTGGCTTCAGTCTGACCAGGTTAGTGTATTTAATACCAAGAATTGTTTGTCTTGCTCTGTGAGTATAACAACCTGTCCTGGATGACTCTGTTAATTCTGCACACTGCAAAAGGTTTTGAAATGTGTGTACATACAAATGCAAACAATGCATATATGCAAAATATCCATAAAATATTTTAAAGCTGTTTTATAGAAGCTATAGGAAGAACTATGATTATAGGGAATTAGTACATTTACATGAATGCAAATTTGAAATTAAACTACTTTCTTAAGCTTGTTTTACCTTCTTGGAAGTATTCCAATTCCCCTGTTTAAATGTGGGCCCATGCCCCTCTTAAGACCACATCTATATGGCCTGCTTAGTCTTCAGTTCTACGGCCAGATTTAGAAAGTAGTTGACAATAGTTGTCAAGGTTTGCTTTTTTTGTTTCTCTCTTTTTTTTTTTTTTTTTTTTTTTTTTTGTGGTTGGGGGTGTGGCAGGGTGATGTGTGTGGTTGATTTTTGTTTGTTGCTTTGGGGTTTGTTTATTTTGCTCTGACCTGCTAAACTATCTTTTATTAATAATTAATTAAAACCACCTGGGAATTATTTACATATGATGATACCCCAGCCAATGGTTCCAGCGAGTGATATAAATTCATAGATCAGACCAGTGCAGTGCATCATCATTAATCTGACAGGAGTCTACCAGAAAGAGATTGAAGAAGAGCACCAACGTCAGGCTAGCCTCACACCCAGCTTTTCTGTGGGGGTATCGTGCCCTGATACTGTGGGGAAGGTATGACTGAGGAAGGCTAACTTTTAGAAGTCAAGTAGAAATGGAGTCTCTGTATTCAGCAGATTATGAAGCAATTACAGCTTCTACTTTTTTTTTTTTTTTTTTTTTTTAATTGGAAAGGACTTTCATGACTAAGCAATACATCACTTAATTTATGCATTAATAACAATTCCTAGTGGATCTACGTGGTTGGAAATGATTCAGAACTGGTCTTGAGGATGTTAACTAAAATCCACATGAGTAATTCTCAACTCATTCATGGACTTGCTAGAGAGTGATGGTTTGCTAAAAAAATGCCTAGATATTGTCATGGTTGGGAGTGATGCTCCTTAGAAGTAATTAACGTGTATTTCCACACAAGAAACTTAACCTGTTTAGCAGCTTGCACCTCTAGCATAACTTCTTGTTTCTGTCTCCTGACCAAGTATTAATTGTGAAAGAGATAAATTTCTTATTTAACAAGAATGAGGTCAGCACGAGGGGAAGAATGAGTACTGTTACCATTAGAGCTTCAGCAAACAAGACCTTTTCTCTTCACACCTTGTTGCACTTTAAGAAAAGAATAGCCTTGGATAATGCAAGAAATGACATCTGGACTCCTGGTCTTGAAATGCAGCCCACCATAATGGAGCACGCAGTTCTTGAAGGCATTTCTCCTTGGATCTGGGAGAGCTAAGGAAAGGTTGTCTTTGTCCCTTGCGTGTGGACACAGGAAGCAGGACTTTTAACAAGGGAAAGAAGAGGAACCTTTTGTGCTTCTGCAGCACCAGCAGACTTTACACTCAGGAAAAACTAAGAGCTGAGAGCAAGTTGCAGAGGGCTGCTACACTAGATGTGGTTTGCTCTGTATTTTCGTAGGAAAGACTTTTTAATGATGAGAAGCATAAGGCTTTTCTCCACAAGGCTCATGTTTTCAGTGTTCTCTGAACAAAAAGAGAGATACTGAAATAAAAGTGTTTTAAGGAAAACAATATTCCGTGGATAATGTTGACTAGAAATGCTACTACATGTTTTGGGTGGTCACTGGAAGTAATAAAAATACAGCTGTATATTATCCATTGGGGTTTTGTTAATTCTGGAAGCTAATTTTTAAGAAACTCAGGGTTATTTATTGATTGTGTCACAGGAATATTTGGACTGTTCTAATTCCAGTCTTCAGCATTATTACATTTCAAGCCATATAAAGGAGAACAAGATATATAGTGCATCTACCCCAGTGCAACAGAATGGGCTCTAACCAGACTCTGTAAATATATTGTCTTCTGTGTTGTTTCTAGCCACAGAAATACTTTTCGAATTATTTATATTCTTCTAAAATTTGCTCAGCAAAAGCAGTTTTCATGCTATACTATTGCATTCAGGTCTCAAAGTGTTGCAAAGTATCCTTCAGTATGCTCCAAAGCCAGTTTATTTTTTAGAAGGGCAGTAGGAAGACTTTGCTTTCGCAGTGGGAGACCAAGTTTGAAATCCACATTTTTGCCTTTCCTTCAGGATGTGTAAAAGGAGTCCCTGGAGGAGGTGTGGTGGGTACCCTCACTACAGTGCACATTTTGTATGCAAGGACATAGGTGTGTTTCAGGGTAGAAAACAGCATTCCAGTTGGATTTTGTGTCGTGAAAACAGTGAATATGGTTTATCTGAACAGCAGCAAGACTATCTCGCTCCCTGCCTTAGCTGGGCAAATAGCTGGCCAGCTCGCAGCCCTCCAATCACCCGGGCTGCCAAGCCTCCACCCCTTTAGCATCAACAGCAGCTCTCACACCGCCTACAGCTGGCTTTTAAAGCAAATATTTTAATAAAAAACACTTTCAGTCATTACTCTTCCATTTAAGACTGCAGAAGTTCGGGACTGGGTAAGAGGAGCAGAAGTTTGCCCAGCAGAAGTTGCTCTGAATCAGGTTTGTAATGTAGTTTACTGCTTGAAAGAAGTAACCTGAAACCAGCGTAGCTTATCAGAGGAAACTTTGCCTTTAACATATGTGCTATTTGAGTAGCAAGAGCTGTGGTATGCAGTATCACATCTAGTTTACATTACATATTATTGTATCTCTGACAAACTGCAAATGACAGTGTTAATGTATAGAGGATGCAATTTATGTTTTCCTTCCCAGTCTGACTGGAAGGTGTTTCTGCTTTTGGATGATAAAGCTTTCCTTTTCCATTTTATACATATCAGACTTCTGTTACAGGTGCTGCTTTCCAATTTTAGGGCTTTAAGTATTATTTAAATGCACCACTTAAAATATTCCAAGGCATTGAAGTTTTGTGAAAGTCTTGGGCACAACATCAGCTTTTAGGACACTTGCAGTAAATCATGTATTGTCTGTGCATGTGTGTACCTAGTTTTGCACCATCTCTGAATTCTTTTGCTTTCATATATTATTGCACAAGATCTAATTAATGCCATACAGCAATTCTGAATAAGGCTAATGTACTTAAGAGCAAACAAAAATTTTCTTATAAATTCTACAGATGGAAAATATAAAATATAAACTTTTACAGATTTTTTCAGGAAAATGAGGCTGAAGGAAGACTCTAAATTAATCTATATACAGTCAGTATACTTTTATATTTTCCCATTTTCAATGTTACAAACTTACTGGAGTATTTTCTTCCTAATTGGTATGTTGTTTAAAATGTTCAACTACTGCACCTAAATTTTATAGTATATTATAGTAAATAATATTAGCTCAACAAAATATTTTGTAAGTAAAATATCTTTAAGTTACTTTTGCTTCGTGAATCTTTAAACATACATCTCAATAACAATATTAAAACTTTCAGAGCTTTTATATTGCTTTATAACAGTTTCTTTCCATATGAGATTTTTATCTTTTATATTAGAGCTTATAATGGAAAATTTTGTAGGAAAAGTTGAACAGTAACTGCAGCAAAACTTTGGGTTTTCTCACCTGTAGCTTGGGTTTGATGTGTACTAACTTAAGCCACTTATTACATGTAATAAGATTAAAATGTTATTTTAATGGAAGACTGTGATGATACATGATAAAAGTTACTTTTTTTCCCCAGTATCCACCTATCATCTGCATTTTGTTTTGGGATAGGAGGCTGTTACCTTATTTTTGCATGGAAAATACTATTCAAAAATGACAGAGTTTACATGACTGTGAAGCAGTCAACACAATTTTAAAGATGAGTACAAACTTTGCAGATGGAGACTTTGTCCCTTGCATTGTGTTTGTAGTTACAAATTTTTTGACACTAAACTTTTCCTGTTAGAAAAAGGCTAATGCTAGACAACCATTAAATGTTCCTGATCATCCATTTGAATGGAAAAGCTGGTATGAATTGTAAGGCTGAACTCATCTTCTTGGGTTAGCATTGAGATGTGTGGTAGTCAAGCAGTAAATTATCTGGTTTACAAGTGACCAGAAAAGACTGAAATTAAGTGTCTATCAGTGGCTGCTGTAAAGAAATTAAAAAAAAAAAAAAAAAAAAAAAACAACAAAAAAACAAAACCCCCATGAATTCCATTGGACATGAGGAAGCTCTCAGAGCTTTTTTGACCCTATGTTCAATAATCTGTCCAATTCCTTTCCTGTCTAAATTAAGTCATCCTGTTCTGCCTGTCTCTTTGTTGCATGTGGTTGGAGGGGTAAAACTGTAAACTGCCGTGTGGATGGCATTACAATTCTTTCTAGGAATGCGTTCAAGGAAAGAGGAGGCTTGAATATGGGCTGAACATTGGTCCTCAAGTCTAAAGCAGCTGAACTGGGGCCTCCTTTTTTTTCAAGGGACTCTTGGAGACATATTCTGTGTTATAGAGTAATCTAGCTAAAGAAAAACTTAGTCCAAAAGGGACTTCAGAAGTGCATTGACCCAGTGCATGCAGAGCCAGAGAGCTGCCACCACAGTTGTACACAGCAAAAGGAACATGCCAAGGTCAGTGACAAATGGATTTCACAGGTGTTTGCTTGTGATAAATGTCTCTGCAAAAGTAGACTTCACTGAACTGGAGCGTAGCACAGGTTTGAACGCATGGGAAAAGCAACAGGTTAGGTCTCCTCCTCACCTTAATCAGAAATAACTGCACACTGTTAATGAGTGCAAGGGCATTTTCCTTTTTGGTTTCTTATCACTAATTTCCTAAGCTTAAACACTGTATAAGCTCAGGATTCAATCTTTACTCTGTTTAAACTGCATGAACTCAGCCCACCCTGTATGATCGCACTTTCAGGCTACATGCCTAATGCTGCTGAAAGGTAGGCAGGTAGCCAAGTCTGCTCTAGAAAAAGTAGGACAGGTGTCATGGAGATTCCTCAGGAGCTCTGTGAGCTCTGGCAGCAGCAGAGCATTAAGAGAGCTCACTTCCTTCTTGATTGATTACTCGATACATTACTATTTTCTCAGCTGTCAAGTGTGGCTCCCCAGGAAAGCCCAGAGAACAGCCAGTGCTCATCAGCTGTGCAGGACATTCTGCAGGGGCTGGTGGAGCTCACAGCAGCAGAGGTGAAGAGGAAACTGAGGCCACAGTGGTCTGCTAGGACAAGGCAGGCTTAGACTGCAGATAGGAAAGGAGAAGTATAAAGGAGTGATTAGGAAAATACTGAGACCTGCTGGTCAAAAGCAAGAGAGAGCATTTTTTTCCATGTTCACTTACTTTGCTCCATGTTTCTGTCTGGCCTAAAGATCAACAGAAAACGGTGGGATTTGCCCAATCATGCCGACACAGGAATAAGACCCTTTTTAAGAGTGTGTGGTTGCAGTCGGTGTAAGCTTATCTAGGACAATGCTGCCACCAAAAGGCACACCCAGCTGTTACCTTCCTTGCTTCTGTAGGTTAGTATTTGAGCGTGAGAGTGTAATGGTAAATTGTGCTTGTGAGTCAGCACACATCAGCACCGAGTCAGAGCCCAGGTTATTCCTTTGCAGCCAGCAATGCATTACAGGATCTGTCTTACAAGGGACACCTCAGAAAAAGGTTATAATTGTCAATGATTTCTGAAGAGACTTTGTCACCATTTACCTACATCATTTGATTGTGTGTGGGGGGGCAAATATCCTCATAAACTCATCAGTTCTTCCTGCTGCACCTTCCTATCATCTATGAAGTGATCAGTACCAGAGCCTTGGGATGTCTCAGCCAAATCCGAAAGGGACCCATGTCTGGAGCACAACACTGCACTTGGTACACAGCAACAGCAGTTGTGAAACACTGTTCAGACATTGTTTATTATACATATGTGCATAGTAAGGATAGGAAATAGCGTAAGATGTTCTGGATTGCAATGGTTGTTATAAAAGGATGCATGTTCAACAAGTTCATGTGAGGATGGATATACCAAATAAGATATGTTTTCATGTGTATGATATTTTTTTTTCTCCTACAGACACGAAGTTTGCATCTTGAACTTTGTCTTTGGTTGTGCTCCAGTTTTTAAATGCTAAAGAAGAAAGGGTGTGTTTGAGTCAGAACAGGTGTTTCACTTTCCTGGCTTGTGGCTAGCAAGAATCATCTTCTTGTCCTCTCCACAAGAATTGGGAGAAAACACGAGCAGAAAAAAAACTATTTTGTCACAAGGATTCCTTCTCAGCAGAGAAAATCATAATATCACCCACCTGGCCACCACAATAGATAACTTTACAACCTTTCAGAGTTCTTTTCCCAAATTGCAAAAGAGCAATCTGAGATCCCATTTGAATAACAAAGTCTTGGAAACTGTTTAGTGTTCTGAGAACAATGTCTGCCAGAGTAGTTTTTCCTGTTAATGAAATACAAAATGAACTGTCATTTGGGGGGTAGGAGAAATAATTCCTTTAAAAAATGCCATGTTTCTGCAACGTTGAATTTGCTAAGGTGAAGGGCATGGAGTCACAAGAGACTTGCTGCCTGTCGCTGTGGGCTACAGCCTAGTGAGTATATTAATAGTGAAGATATATATTCTCAGTGAATGAAGCCAAATACCACAGGCAGATACTTCTCTCTGGGAGTCCAGTGGGCTGAAAGGACTGTCTAATTGTAATAGAGCTTTGGAAACTTGCCCGTCTTGCCTCCTTCCACTGTCCTAGGGCAGCTATAACCTTTCTAATGGGCATTAAGCATCACTGCCCAGAGCTATTCAATTCCATTCATTAGCCCTTATCAACTTCCCGTTCCTTGAAAGGGAATGGAGAGCCATTTTTTTAAGAATGCTTTTTGAAGACAGAAGTAGAACTTCCGAATGAACTTGAGGAGCTATTACAGGAATAGGGAGAAAGTGTTTCTGCACAGAGAGCTCTCTTTTATTTTTCATACTCAAGGGGATTTTTTTTTTCAAGCAATTCCACACAAGGATGGTAGTTCTCTTGCTTCTGAGTCTTTGTTCTAGGATCAAACACTGTTAAGTGAGCTACCCATCTTAATGTGAAGTCATTTCGTTCAGTGGATTGAACTATTGTGAGTAGAAATGCCCTTTACCGGTCTAAGAAACTGATACAGACCAGGGAGGCATCTACCAGCATAATATCTTTGACTAAATGAAAAATAGCCTCAATTCCCAGGTGGGTTTCACTTAACAAATCATGAGCAGAGTATAGATATTTATGGTAAAAGTTGCAAAGAGAAACATCAATTTGGGGAGATGGCAGATGGTATCGCTTGATTCTTACCAAGCTCTGAGTCATCAATACAACTCGAACAAACACTTAAAGAAAGACAGAACTTGTACATTAATGCTGCCTCTTCAAGATACTATTTTCTACAGGGTGTCCATGGATCCTCAGCTATCATTTTTTTGATCTGGGAAGCAGGGTCACTGCTGTTCCTCCTGGCAGTCACACGTATCACAGGCCAGAGATGCACTGCCCACCCGCTGGCCTTCAGGCCCTACCAGGTCACAAAATCCACGTTTGTGTGCAAGAGCTGATCACACCCCACACTGCGATGAGGTGCACCCTGAATATTGAAGAACTGCAGTTGGCACAGGATGAGCAGTTATCCCACCAGGTTTTATTAGATGGTTGTCAGGGAGAGTTGTGTGAGATTTCCTGTAAAGATAATTAGATCTAGGAAACTTCATTGGTATGGGAGGGAGTAGAAACACTGTTTCAATCTGCTTTCAAGCAGTTTTTACTGAAGCAAATTTTAAAGTCAAAAGCCATGTATTTGAAGGCAAAAGGAGATTGCATTGGCTTTGTAAAATGCTGTATTTTAAAGCTTTTGCTGTTTATAGCCTTAGTATTGGAGTTTAAGATCTTATGAATCCTATGTTATGTTGGTATTTGTCCTTATCTTGAAAGTTCTTATGATATATGAGGTAATAGAGGTCTGTTTTGGTTCTGTTTTAGAAATGGTTAAGTAGTGACCATTAGCAGATAAATAATTTCTTTTTTACAGTAGTGTAGTAAACTTAAAGATAACATATATCTTTCCCTGGGGAAATAAGTGCTAAATATAAAATTAGGAATACTGAACCTCTAATTTTTTTCCTGGGGAAAAAGCACACAGCATCATATTTAATGTCACAGAGTATTAATATATTACATTATATATTATTATATTAAATATATTAGTTAGTAGGAGTGATTTAAGTTCTTTATGCAAACACATTTTTTTCATTGTTGGTCACCAGTCCCTATGCTACTTTTCATGTACCGTAATGATTTCTTTTATTTCAGAGCTCTACACCCACCATGTTGCCCTGTGGACCAGCTTTGTCCTTTGTTCGGTGTCTGGTGAGGAAGAAGAATGTCAGCAGTGAAAGTTCTGAGGACTCCAAGCTGTGCCGATGCTTATCGACGTTGGACCTTATAGCCCTGGGAGTAGGAAGTACCCTTGGTGCTGGTGTTTATGTCCTTGCTGGAGAAGTAGCCAAATCCGATTCTGGACCTAGCATCGTTGTTTCTTTCCTCATTGCTGCACTGGCATCTGTGATGGCAGGTCTCTGCTACGCCGAGTTTGGTGCTCGTGTTCCCAAGACTGGTTCTGCATATTTGTATACTTATGTAACTGTTGGTGAACTGTGGGCTTTTATCACTGGTTGGAACCTCATTTTATCCTATATTATAGGTAAGCTTAAGAACAAACACATGTCTCAAGGGCTTCTGAGATGGCAGATATTAGATATAGATTTGGGTCTGTCTTTCTTCTCTGTCTACACTTAGCTGCTATTGCTTTTTACTCCTGCTGAGATGAAATAACCAAAGTCATTCGATTAGGTTATTTCCTTCTGTGCACCACCATTGCAGACAGTTTCTTTGCAAGATACTTTTGTAAACAGTGTGTCTTCAGCAGCATTAACTGCATACCTTGTATGAAAATTGTGTCAGACAGTTCAGTGATGATGCTCAAGATCAAACACAATTTAATTGATGTCTTTGGTCAGCAACAATAATTTCATTAAAACCAATAAACATTATCTTTTTTGAATTATACACAGCAAGGACATTTACAGGAACCCCATCACTACAGTATCTCACTTCAAGAAAGGATGTTTAAGTACTGACTTGTTACTATAGCCTCATGATAATTAAATGGTGTCCTATCAGGTAATCCCATAAAATACAAAAATGACCAGATCTGAATAAAATCAATGCTTATACGGCAGATATTCAAATAACTAATTCAGTGCTCTAGCAGAGACATTTTTTGATTCAAAAATGTTTTCTTCCAGAGGTACCTGCTCCAAGCATCCATTATATTATATTTAAGTACATCTACCCCTATGTGTATATCTTACTACAAGACTGTTGCCCAAGTCACTACAAAATTAATATGCCTGAGTATTGTACTGAAGTGTCTTCCATGATAGGAGGGTTATAAAAATAAGGTTGTATTTAGCCGTGGCCATGTGAACTCTTTACCAGTATTACTGGTATTACTTTTAAATACTAACTCTAGCAATATTGCTAGTGATTTTTTGCTTTACTTCCAGGTGGACAAACTTTCCTTCATGTTCTTAAACTGCTTTCTTACAATGCTTTATATAGTTTCACATATTGTAACTTTAGAAATAAGTGTTTTCCAGAATGATATCATATATTAATGATACAGAAATAATGTCTGCAGTATTTTGGGAATACGTCAGGTACAAATTTGTATATTTTAGTTGTAGAATAATATCTTACCATGTAACTATGTAGAAAAATTTTAAAACATTAAAATTCCCCAGCAAAACAAAATCATTGTTTTAACACAATCTCTGATCTTTTAAATGCAAGTAGCAACATGCTTAGTTTTATTTTTTTTTTCAGTAGAAGTAACTATCCTGTTGTACGTATGCAAAACTCTAAACATGCATGTATTTTATGAAGGTACATCAAGTGTAGCAAGAGCCTGGAGTGGCACCTTTGATGAACTTCTTGGAAAACAGATTGGTCATTTCTTCAGAACCTACTTCAAAATGAATTACTCTGGGCTAGCAGAGTATCCTGACTTCTTTGCTGTATTCCTTATATTACTTTTATCAGGTAAGACAACATATGGCTTCATTTATGGTGGTTGTCACGTCAGAGTGTTTCTTTACAGACAAAAATGCTAAATTGTAGTTTGTGTTTTACCAGAAATACCTTAATAAAGTTTAAGAAGTTCAGATGCACATTTGTATATTGACACAATGGCTCTGGGAATTAAATGTATATGATCAAATTTTCATGTGTACCGGTCTTCTTTTGTTGAAGCTGAGGCGTGAATTAATAACTTGTACTTTTTTTATAAAACCCATGATATGGATTGATGATAACAGGAAAATTACACAGTTCTGTGTGTCTTTTATGGCTTTATCACTGGTAAATGCCTTCAGAGGGTCCTTGAGGTTAAGCTCTGTAGTATGTGATGTGCTCTCCTTAAATCACAGATTGTGCACATAGCGCATATTTGTAAGGGTTTGTTTCCCTTTCAATTCTTAGCTTATTTGGTATAAAATAACTTTCTCCTTTTTAAGTCTTCAAAAGTTCTTTAGCCTAGAACTTGTTTGAGCTAAAGAGCACTCCAGGGTATTGGCAGACCAATCTGTAACCTGAGTAAACCTTTTACATCTACTCCACTCAGTTCTGCTTCTTTTTTGTCTTTACTCATGTATCATGTTTTTAAATGACAAAAATTGACACCAACTATATGCTTTTGGAGGGATCAGAAAGCTCAAAAATACTGCAACTTATTTGTATTTAATTTTTTGCTTTCCACAAGGAAACGTTCTTATTGCCACCAGGAGTGAAAGAAGCAGTATGTGTATTCTAAATGTGTAGGTTTTTTTCAGCCAATACTACAAACATTCCAGTATTCATAAGAGGTCTTACCCATATCTCAAATATTTGTCATATTCAGTCTCTCTTTAGACCAAACAACAGCAGAAGCTTTTCTTCTCTGGAAAGTGAAACTAAGTTATATGGATATAACCTCTTATTCTGTTCTAAGTGGCTTTTTTGGACTCAGGAAAATATTTCTGTTTAACTTCTAATGCCAGAATGAGTGACCAGTGCATTTGAAGCTTTTATTAGGTCTCTGTATATCAAAAGATGAGTTCCCACACTTAGGAAGATCAGGGAGTTTACTAGACAAGGTTTAGTCCAGCATCCTGCCATACTTGTGGCTCCCAGTTGCCTGTAGGACCAGTTCAGACCCTTACGTCTTCAGGAGGGATGGGAATGCATTTGGTATATAACTGGAACAGACCTTTCAGTTTCACCTCTTCCAAAGGAGGAAAAAAATAACATTTTGAAAAGCAGAGCGCTGAAGCTCCACAAACCAAAAGATAAAATGCTAGTGCAGATGCTGCCACCTTTCATATTTTCTGCACTGCCATTGCTGCTTCCTAAAATAAGTAGAGATTCTTGGTAGAAGATCTCCTGTGACTTGCCACTGCTCCTGAGTTTTCATTTGTGTCCTGTCTTTTCAGCCCCACCATCATTCCTTCTTCACTTCTCTTGCACTCACGCCACAAATAACCTCTCCAGGTCTCTGTGGTAAGCAGCCAAATCACCAGTGAATGAACTGGATGGAATTCACCACTGCTGAGGGGAGGGGCAGCAGGGATGGCTCAGGGCTGATACAGTAATTGGATTCTGAGCTGCACAAAGCTGAATCACAGGAGTAGCAGATGATGTATTACAGAAAACATTATGTGCTAAGCACAAGGGAAAGCACACAGAAATCTGGTTTAGGGTTTTTTTTTGTTTTTTTTTTTTTTTTCCTACACAAAGGACTTTGAAAAAAATGTACATACTATGTTTCATACTGCATTAGGCTGATTGAGACACTGCCTTCTTGGGAAAAACTGAGCTAAAGAAAGTGTACACCTATTTCCAATAAAAATGCCATTGGTAAAGAAAACTTGAGCAGCTTATATAACTTATGTGTCATGGTAAGATAGCAAGTGTCTCATTAGCAGAGTCAGAAATTTTTTAGACATTATCTTGAGAGGCTTAAAATTTTCAGACTTAATCTCTAAATAATGAGAGAAAGGATGTATGTGATATTAGTGGAAACGCTTAGAGTGAAAAGAACCTGTGGAGGCTTTCCCACTGTATTTAATTTTTCCTGATCTGCTCACTGCTTGCCCTTCATTACAAATCTAATGACAGTAGGATCCTGATGGAATAAATTCCAGATTGTTTAAATGCACTACTCTCAACCTAAGGCATCTGTTTTTTGTATCAGACTGTTTTCTAGAATCTCTATGATAATCAGAGTTTATGAACAGGAGGAATGCATTTCTTTTAAAGGTTTTACTAATCAGCTAGGAAATGGGACTCTTACGCTATGATGGGTGTGCCCTGAAAAATTTAGTGTGAACAGATTATGTTATTAATCTAATACTTTTGCTTATTTTATTAATCTAATAAGTAGCTGTTCTATAAGGAATAGATTCTACTAATCTGTTTTTACTAAGCACAGAATTCTTGTACCTATTTTTGCTCCATCACATAAAATAGGGATATGAATTGGAATCTCAGAAAAGCAGTAACAATTGCTCAAAATATTTTTGAATAGTTTATGAATACAATTAAAGAATCCTTCTGTCTTGTGGTTTCCAATACCTTTGCCCACTGACATGCTGTCAGTGAGTCTAATAGATTTGTTTTTTAAAAGTACAAAATCTAGTGCTGTTTTTTAGTATTATTCACAGTACTTGCATGTATACCTACTTTAAAATGCCATTTGATTAGTATAAGGGACCACTGACATCTATAAAATATTTTTATTTTATAGGTCTTTTATCTTTTGGAGTAAAAGAATCTGCATGGGTGAATAAAATTTTCACTGCTATTAACATCTTGGTCCTACTCTTCGTTATGATTTCTGGTTTTGTGAAAGGAGATACTGACAACTGGAAAATAAGCGAAGAACATCTCATAAACCTTACTGCATTAACAGAGTAATTTTTTTAAAAAATCAATTTACTTGCTCAAATTCCAAGCAATTTTCTGTTTTAGTGGTATTGCAGGTAACATATTAACTAATAGCTGTGTTGCTGGGAATGAAAAAATTTTTATTCCCTTAAAAATAACTTTTTATTTTCTTGTTTGTAGTTTCCTTTAAAGAATCATCTTATTTCAATACTGTTGTCTGTAACTGCTCGCGAGGTTACTGGCTTCTTGCCCTTAAGGCATGTAGTAACTGCAGTATGTGAGTATGACAACAAGAGTTGCCTACACCATTAGTATTTTGCCAAAAACTGCAAAATGAGTAAGATGACAGTTACTTGATTTGGGTATTTCATCTACTGTTATGTTTGTCTTTCTTACAAGCTTTGACATACAAAATGTCTTCTTGTGCCATTTTGTAAAGCAGAACTCTGTCTTGACGAGAGCATTTTAACATGTTTTTACAGAGTGGTAGGGGAAGAGGATGCATGTGTTTGTCCTACCAATAATTAAAATAGTTTTGTTCTGCTGTATTTTTGTTCTTTATAGGAATTGGTCATCCTGGGAGAACGTGACAAGTATATATGGGAGTGGAGGCTTTATGCCATATGGCTTCACAGGAACATTGGCTGGTGCTGCAACCTGTTTTTATGCTTTTGTAGGATTTGACTGCATTGCAACAACTGGTATAGTATTTATATGTGTGTGTGTATATATGTATAAGTAGGTATAAAATGATTTTTTTGTAAAAAAAAAAAACACAAACAACAATCTGCCTACTCTTTTTCCTTTGTTTTCTCAGAAACCTCCTTCAGTCCATGTAGAATGAGTCTGAATTCATTCGTGAATGTGGTTATTGTTCTGGGAAGGAAGGAGGAAATTTTATTTGATTTATTCCTGTTCTAAACAAATGAATTGCTGCTTTCTAAGTCTGGGAAGTGTTTAGTATAAATTTTTTTTCTGATCAAGTCATGTTAATCACCTGCTCATTTTACAATTCTCTGATGTGAGGTATCTCTTCTAAAGGCTGGCTTGTATATGGCTGATAGGGAATGAGTACATTGAACTTGTACATTATAGGTAAATAACTAGGAATTATGGGCTTTGAGTACTCTAAATATAGAATGTAGTTTATGTCCTTTAGTTTACTTCTATTTTTTAATGCTATTTCTGTCAACAAAATACTGAGTTTTGTTCGTGCCACTGAGATTATTTTATACAGATTTTTAAAACTTCTATTACAAATATGATTCCCATGGCTTAGATTTAAAAATCACTTGTCTTTGATGTTATCTTTTAAAGCTGAAGGTGGAAATGAGTAAGAATATTTGTTGGGCATTTTTGTTTTCCTTTTTTCAGGAGAAGAGGTCAAGAATCCTCAGAAAGCCATACCCATAGGAATTGTGGTATCCTTGCTTGTCTGCTTCATGGCCTATTTTGGGGTTTCAGCTGCACTGACACTTATGATGCCATACTATCTACTAGATGAGAAAAGTCCTCTGCCAGTAGCATTTGAATTTGTTGGATGGGGTCCTGCAAAATATGTTGTAGCAGTAGGATCCCTCTGTGCTTTGTCTACAAGGTAAAGAAATTGAAATACTAATTTTATTGGGAAAAGCTGATGGATAATATACAACATTTAAATATATGTGCATGAGCTCATTTTGAAGGCTCAGCTCATGCAAAGGATTAGCGATAAGAATTATAAGCATGTTTTAGATTTAAGCAGGTCTTTATCACAGTAGGTGCATTAATTTAAGTTCCTTTTTTAAACTGTACTGTTATTCAACTCTACCTCTGGTTCATTACTCAAAAGTTTTTTTTTTAAATATGTATTTTCAGACATATGACCTGCAAGTTATCTTTATTAACTGATAGAATAAACCTCATCCTTTTTGTCCTGTCTTGCTCTTCACTCCCAGTGACTCAGCAGCTTTATGGGCTCTGTGTATTTTCAGGCAAAATTGAAGAGGTGATTAACTAGCTCCACTCCTCATCTTCGTTTCCTGTCTCTGTTTTCCTCCAGTAGCCAGTCTATCTTCTGACATCATCCCTTCCTGTGGTTTCTGTGTGGGTATTTGAGATGTAGATTATAGCTGTGAAAATATTATGATTTATTCCGCTTTGTGAAACTGTGGATGTAACCTTAACTTGTTATTTTGATTAAAAAGATCAGGGAGGGCATGAGATATATTAGTATGTGTTCATAGCGATTACACCCCAACTGTAATGTGGTATAAACTTTTACATAGAATAGAAAATTGCTTGATACTAGAATTTAGGGATAGAAAAATGCTGATGCCAGACTTCTGCCTGAGGTTATGTAGGTAAGGAATCATTTGTGTGAGCTTCCAGTGGTAAGAATACTGGCTGCCTTTCCACAAAGGAAGATGACATGCCTGTGGAAGCCCTAACGCTAACAGCACTTAGAGATAACCCTGTAAGCATTAGCCTGGAGAAGATGAGCACGATGACTGTGGGCAATAGTTTAAAGGAAAGGAATGTTTTGATGTAGGAGGGGATAGAAAAGGGAATTAGTTCATTAAAAGAATTGTAGGGCTGACTGAAGAATGTCACAGTTACACAGTTCATTCTAGGATTATAATTATTTTCTAATTGTCATGGTCCCCTCAGTTTGGAGGGTTTTACTGAGTTTTTCCTGTATACTAATAAATAGTGAAAGTGATACATAAGCAGAAACTAGATTAAAGAAAATATACTGGAAAACAAAATGAACTGAAATGGTAAAGCAATTTTTCAGAAATTTGAACTGTTGGTCTCTTTTCCCAGTGTATTCTGAATAATTATATTTACTCATATGGAGAGTTTAATATTTCGATCTGTTGACTGATGTCAGTTTAGAACAAAACAAAGGGAATTGTATTTCATATTCCTCAGTTTAGAATTTATTTATAAAGTAATATATATAAATTAAGTGTGTGTATATATATAAAGTATAAATATATATATATAAAGTATGAAGTTATAAATATATATATATATTACTCAGTATAAGTAAGAAAAAAAGTTGGAAACATTGCTTTTGGTCCATATAGTTACCTCTTATTGTGTTATGTCATGAACTTGTTTCCTTAGGGTAAAGATGTTTGTTAGCATTTCTGCTATTTATGTGAATGTACTTAAAGAGGGGTAGGATAAATAAATTTTACAAAGCCACAACAGCAAAAAAAATTGGCACTGGATTTTAACAATTTCTTTGTCTGAAAAATCAATTGTCACCCTGATTCAGGAAACATTATTTTTTGGAAGGGACATTCATACATCAAAATCAGTTCACGTGCAATGAAACTTCTCTTGTGTGTCTGACCTTAATGCTGTTAATGTTTCACGAGCATTACTGCAGGTACTTAACATCTGTGGTATGTAAAAGCTGTGCCTTCTGTAAGTGATACAGTTGATTCCCTAAAGTAAGAAAGGCAACCATTCACCTGGTTCAAAACTAGCGTGCTTGCTGCAGAGGTTATACTGGCTATGATTTTGCCTTTTGTCCTTTCAATGGTTTTGGTTTTTTTAATTACAATTATTTTGCTCTGAGGGAAATAAATCACCTAATTTAAGAAGTATGTTTAAAAAGAGCTTTGAGTTATCATCAGTTTAAAAGCTTTTTGTGTCCTGCTAATAAATCTAAATTAGTTAGCTTTATTTTTTGCAAAAATAAAAAACAAAACAAAACAAAACAAAAAAAAAGCAAAGAACTATCTTAATGAAGCTTGGCTAGAGGTGCTTTAATTGAAAGAAATAATGTGCCCAAGTATAACTGTATGGTGCTTACTTTGAATTACTGTTAATCAGCAGCCTCACATGGAAATGTAGAGTCTAAGAGATGCTGCTAATGCTTATTGATTTGCTGCTGCTGACTGACAGACTTTCTCCAGGAATACTAAAGCTTAATTGCATAGTTAGTGTGACCTGGAACATGTTCCTGGTCCACTAATACCCAAGAACTACAGTGATGGCAAGAGTTATTTTTCTAATCTGAATTCTCTCTGATGAAGCAATTCTATTACTTAAATTAATTAAAAAAAAAAAAAAAAAAAGGCAATCAACTTTACAGGGAAAAATAATTTTCTATTTACGTCAGATCTGTAGTATCTTGGGCTATGGGTCTTTCAGGTTTTGTCTTACAATCATCAATTTTGTTTCTACACATGCCATTAATTAACATTGTTTATCTTGTCCATTATACAACTCTGCATGAACTGTGTTTGCCATGTTGCATGTGTTTGCTTTTTACTCAGTCTTCTTGGATCCATTTTCCCAATGCCACGTGTAATCTATGCTATGGCGAAGGATGGGTTGCTTTTCAAATGTCTAGCTCAAATCAGTTCCAAAACGAAGACCCCACTAGTTGCTACTCTATCGTCTGGTGCAGTAGCAGGTGAGACTAAGAGTTGATCCTTGTAAAGAAAGGTGCACTGCTAAACACATTGCATATATGGAAATAAACTACTGTTGTGCAGCTTTGATTTGCTTTGGACTGAAATGATCAAATCTGACTGTCACCAGGTGAAGTAGGCTACTGGTAAAACTTTTCTCTACCACAGATTCTGTATTCGTTGGTTAATCTCAAGTGCTTTCAAAGCCTAGGTTCAAAATAAACAACAACCCAAACCCAAGAACATCAGTCAACCAAACAAAAAAACAAGAGCAGCAACACAGAGCCTACACCAAAACTATACCTAAACCCGTTAACTCTTCCAAGCTTTCTTTTTGTGTAGTTGGGTTTACCAGTAAAGCATTGTGCTTTTAATAACCTATATTTGAACTATACATTTTTCTGTTCTAGTCTTCTCGGCTCTATGTTCCCTTTGCCCCGAATTCTGTTTGCCATGGCACGCGATGGTTTACTCTTTAGTTTTCTTGCCAAAGTGAGTAAGAGGCAGGCACCAGTTTCTGCCACCTTGACAGCAGGGGTCATCTCTGGTAAGCTCTCAAAGCCCGTGTTACTTAAAACTGGGATTTAAACACTCTATGCACGTGCATGGTACTTTATATTTTTGAAAAGGGCTGCTTGTTAACTTCCCTTGCATGTACAATGGGAATAAAATTACTGAGTAATCAAAGGGTATAAGAATTCCAGATCATGCCAATCATGGTGGTGGTGATGTCCTTAATGTCACAGAATTCAAAATTTTTTTTTTTTCTTTTTTTTTTTAAATATTGGCCTCTTATGTGGTGAATTAGCTTGTTACTTAATCTGGGTCCTTTACACTGATGCTTTGCTTACAAGGTCTCCTCACCCGATGTACATATGTATGTTTATCACATCTATAAGGGGGTAAAATAACTGTCATGGTTTTTATTACGAGACATGAGGGAAAAAAAATTCTACATTTGCAGCAGGATCAGCTTTTGTGCAAAATACAAAGATTTTAAAATTTTCTTCTAAAGAAAATTATTCTGGTTTTGTATAGGCTTACCAAATTGTGGTTGAGGGGTATGTGTGTGTGTGTGTGTGTGTTGGGGGGTTATGTGCATATGCACATATATGCCCACATATATTTTAGCAAAACAGCATTTTGGGAGCTGTTGCCAACTCTTAATGTTTCACAAAGAGAAATTCTTAACATACAACTGTTTCGCTTTTGTCCATACTTCTCGCAGAGATATATGTAGCTGTGCCAAAATTTCATTGTCATTTCAGTGGGATGTCTAATTACCTAGGAAAACTGGAAGCTCTATAGGTATTTAACTCAAAGGCAAATAAATAAGTCTTAAAAGTAATTAAAATATGAAATACATGCCTTATAACATTTAGCAACCCTTGATAAAATTGATACGAAACAAGAAGCTTAGAACAGATATTAAAATACTATTATTTGTAGTCTGGGTCATCCTCAGATGTTACAAGATTGGAATGGCTCACACTGTGTATTTGGCAATAATGTGGGAAGGCACAGTCATTGTCTGGATAGTTCCCACATTAAGCATTATTATCAGTTCCCTTTTCTTTAGTTAGAGTACAAATAAATTGCTTAGAATGACTTTTATTGTTTTGAGTTTATCTTTTTGACTTCATTATTTGAATTTATAATATTGACATATTCCTCTATAATAATTTGGAAGTGCAGTTATGTGGGATGAAATTAACATCTTTATCTGAAATCACAGTAATGGCGAGGAGAAGGAAAACCATATTACCCAGCTGGTAAACCGACTGATATAGTTATGCAGCCCTGACTATAGCTACGCAGCAGCCGTCACTTGGACTGCCTTTAGGCAGTCTGGGGAATTTGGTGTGTCAACAACTCACCTGAAGACAGCTTTATTTACTACTGGAGAAAGTGTAATTTCTTCTGCTATTTTTATAAAGATGCATATTTGGTAACTTCTGGTCATAAATAATTTTGCCAGAATAGTTACAACACCTGCAACACCTTATATGTATAGACGCAACACCTTATATTATCTGACTCTTCTATTCATTTGTAGCACAGATAGTTCCATAGCTTTAAGAGATTTTGAGGAGATCAGATGTTTGGCATCTTAATTAAAGTTATCAGGCCAAGACAACAGCTGAGGCTATTGTCACATGTTGTTACTGTGACTTACCTTTTCACAGGTGATAATCACAATTGCAAAACTCTTCACATAGGGAAGAGTTTTGGTGTCAGTCCAAGGTTTCACCATAAATTGATCTACCATTGTTTCTTGGAGTAGAATTAGGAGAGGTGGAAAAATGTGTCTTTTTGTTCTCTTAGTCAGAAACTTACAGGCATTTGTCAGTTTGGTTCCAATGTAGGATTCTGGGCTATAAAGTAGCCCTTTGAAGCTAGGACTAAAAATTAAATATAGCTATTGTACGTGAGGTTATAGTAGGTTCTGTTCTTCCTCAGCTTTTCTTGCCTGTGATCTTTTGAGCATGCAAAGCAGTGAGGTATTCAGAAGCCTACCCTGTAAAGGACACCTTGGATTTAGGAACATCCTCCATCATTAAAGAAAACAGGATGGTATTTCTTCCTTCATTGAAAAAGGAGACTAACAGATGAAGTAATAAAACTTCTGTAACACAGCAGTCTTATTTTCAGCAAATCACATTTTGCTTTCTCCCTCAGGATCAAATACCAAGGGAATGTGTGTTTGTGGGTTTATACACTTATACACCTGTCTACAAATATATTAACAAACATGTAACGTAAATATTATATATAAGTATTTCTGAATATAGAACAATTTTTGTGTGCCTATACATACAGTGTATAAAGGCTACGTTTAATAGGGTTTTTTGATGTTGAGATTACCAATGATTCAAAAGATTAAGCATTTTTACATTAATTCTGCATCTCAGTAATGTTAATAAAATACAAATAGTTTAAGAGGTACTTTGACCACATGTATTTCCAAAATATTAGCATTAGCCTTTCATTTACTGGTGGCTTGTGCTAATTTCTTTGAGCTATCTGTGTTTGTGTGCAAACAGCAGACAAAAAAAAAAGGCATTCCAGAATCTCCAAAAGAATGTGGCATTAGCTTTTATAAACACAAAGACTGCTATAATTACTCTCAGTATCATGAAAGTTTCTACCTCTTATTTCAGTGATCTTAAGAATATTCATTCTTGTGAGATTTCACTGGCCTTTCCTGAAAGCCACTTTTTTTTTTTTTTTTTATTGTAATAATCAATTTAAAAAACTATTTTATTTGAGACAACTCCTGAAAGTCCTCTTCACATAGAGCTCTTTCTCAATTCAGCAGAAATTTTACATACCGGTGACTTCATGGGTCGGATCATTTTTTCCTCAGTTTTGCAGTGGGATCCATCTTCTCAGCTTTGGTGAGATTCTGTTGAAGGATCTGAACCTCATTCTATAAAAAATGTATTTTTAATGCGTCCCCAATTCAACAAGCCATGTGTGCAAATACTAGTGTCCAAATAAGTCCAATATGAATTGCTTGATTATGCAGCATGACTGTACATCTCATTAGTGAATATCTATACGAATGAGATTCCCAACTGTAGAGAATTAGGTTTGAGAATGTTGGCGATGACTTCAAAAATGTGTTTTTAAGGATTCCTATGATTTCACTCATATTGCTGTCAGTAAAACAATGTAAAGTTACCCTGTGGACAGATTTTTTAATTTTAGCTCTTAATATTTCTTAATCTTATCATTTACGGTTGGGCTTGATGATCTTAGAGGTCTTTCCCAACCTAAATGATTCTATGATTCTGTGTCAGCCTCATACAAATTTTGTGTTTTCATTTCTTTTCTTTTTTAGCTATCATGGCATTTCTGTTTGACCTAAAGGCTTTAGTGGATATGATGTCTATTGGTACACTTCTTGCTTATTCACTTGTGGCAACCTGTGTCCTCATTCTTAGGCAAGTCAAAAAAATCCTTTGTATTCTACTGTTTCATTTTGTGTTGGTCAGTATATAAACAGAAGTGACATTTAAAGTGTATGTTTTTTGCTAGATAGCTAAGTGTTTAAAAATTAGCTGTATGCATATAAATAATTACTAAAAAGTAGTGACCCATCAAAGAAAACAATGTCATATCAATATAGCAGTTAGTCAAAACAAAGCTTCATGTAGAATCTAGACACCTTTTATTTTCCAGAAGGTGTGTTGGTCCAAGTGTTAGTCCCAAAGGTACCAGATGTAAGCTTGTGTATAAAATTCAATGAATTATATTTTTATATGAATACAATCTATGCTGTACACCAGGACTATTATATTGTGGGGACTGTATGTGAAAGGTTTAGATGTTCTAGGTGGTTCACAAGATCAACAAGTTCAAATAATAGCTTTGGATTACCCTAGTCAGAAATGTAAGACCAGACAAGTGTTTCAATATGTGGTAGCCCTAGAAGAGAGTGCAAATATTGTCTCTCAATGACAGAGATCATAAATACTTGTCAATAAAACTCTAGTATCTGTTCTGTTTGTAAAGCTATGGGATAATATTGATATATTGGTAGATACTGCTCACTTTATAATGTATTGCTCTTTTTGACTTAAAAATTCAGTCTTTATTACTTAAGGCTAAGTAATTCACTTTGAAAAGTATAACAGCTTAAATTCAACTCAAATTCATTGTTGCAATAATTTACACTATAAAATAGAAGACTATGTTATCCCATTGTGACTTATTTAACATAAGTATGTTTAAGAATACACTTAAATTCTAACAAAGCAGATGTAAAAATTCAGCTTATGCCAGTTAGTAGGTCTCTTACAGTACGAGAAGCAGGTACCAGAAAGAAGCTTCCCTACCCTTTCCCTGGCACTGACCACCAGACCCTGTCGCCTCTTTTTGTACGAGACTGGTCATCCATCTGACCCATTAGTGTATTCCCACAGCTTAAAAAACTGCCCAAAAAATCCCCAAGCAAACCCAGCAAAAAAGTGAGTTGCCATAGTTTGAGTTTTATATATGCCATGAGTTTTAGATATGATAGTGACTAATAACATATGCCGTTGCAGTACAGTTATAAATTGGGAAATTCTAAATCTCTGCTGCAAAGAATTTAGTATTTAAATACATTCCTAGAGTCATATTGCTTCAAATCTCAAAGTAAGCTTATTTTTTTTATTATCCTGTTTGTTTTATGCATAGGTACCAACCCAGTTTAACCTATGAGCCACCAAAATATTCTCCAGAAAAAGCAGCTTTGGCTGCATCTGAAAGGGAATCTGCAGTAAGTGAATCACAGATAAATATGATACAAGAGAATCACTTCAGTCTTCAGGCCCTGATGAATCCATCCAGTTTACCTACTAAGCAGACTGCAACTATTGTTAACTTTTTAGTGGGACTCTTAGGTAAGTATTCAGTTGTCCAAACTCATAAAAGGCATTAACATATACAGTGGAATTATATTAAAGACAAAATTAAAATTCCAGTGATAACATGTGGTCTTTTAGCCATAATTAATGTGTCATTCTGCAGAACACTTTTTTACTTCTTGATGGATCTAATCTGTAGTGTAGTATGTTTTCCTTTAATTAAATATTTTCATTATAACATTTCATACCAAAGACCTGCTGTCATTCTTCTTAAAAGTCACTTCCTCTTCAATGCAGAGATTAAGTGAACTCTTTCCTATTTCCACCATTTTGTTTTTCACACAGCTTGCTTGGTTTGTGGCTTGAGTGTCCTCGCTACCTACGGGATTCATTGCATTGCTAACTTGGAGCTCTGGAGTATTGTCATTCTTGTTGTGTTGGTGGTGTCCTTCATAGTTACCATTCTCCTCATCCAAAGGCAGCCTCAGAGCCAGCAGAAAGTGGCCTTTATGGTGAATAACATACTCTCTCTGTTATTCTCTAATGAGAGGTTTGGGTGGATTCTGACAAGTGGGAGAGGGGCAGAGAGCGAGAGCGAGAGCGTCTGTTTTCAGTCAGTCTTTCATTGCTGTTCTTGCAGTATTGAAGGCTTTTTAGTGACTGTAAGGGTAGCGGATGGTCATGACTGAATCATTGGCATGTGTAGTCCAGTCCAGACCTTCTCAGGACTAGAGAAAGGATTTTATTGCCCACTGATTGAATGTGTGACATGCGCAGGAGCATGGCTGCAGAAAACGGCTGTACTGCTGGTGCTGGTGCGAAGAGCTGCTACTACAGCTCGTGGATCTGACGGCACTGAACTTCTAGATATTCCTTTCGGAGCATTGTCAGAGTGCCCATTGCTGAGACCCAAGTAATTTTAGACCTCAGTTTAAGCACTTAGAAGCTGGAAAATTATTCCAAAACCGATTAGTGTGCAATTGCTTGTCTGTACTGTGTGCAAGGCTTTGGACCACAATACAGTTCGTACCTCCCAGAGTATAATCCTTTCATTTTGAGCTTTCATATATGTTCTAGTATCTGTTATTTAATGGAGTAGTTAATGGAAATAATGAAGTATAGTGATAAAGGTCAAGGAATCTGGTGGACTGGGGAGGGCATTTCAGAAAGAAGGGATATAAAAAAACATACAATATTTTTCAGCTGTAGATACAGGAATTCATTAGCATATATTCAGCACAAATTGGAGAGCTTTTCTACACAGCCTTAGAGAATTTATATTAAACATAATGTATTTTAAAAGTTTAATATATATAGAAACTGGTGGTTAAATCCAGTGAAAAAGAAAATTATCCAGTGAAAAAGAAAAACTATATTCCAGTTAAAAAAAAAAACGTTTCAATCCTTTTTTAGTGATTAGATATGTCACATCTAGTTTGTGTTGTTTAACTGAAGCATGACATGCAAGAAATTATATTTAATGCAAGCGTATTAAATATTTCCTTTTAGGTTCCACTATTGCCATTTTTGCCATCATTCAGTATCCTTGTAAATATTTACTTGATGGTACAATTAAGTGGAGACACTTGGATCAGATTTAGCTTCTGGATGGCACTTGGTAGGTACTTATGTTCATTTCAGTCACCTCTTATGTTAGGACTCATGAATACCATCTTAGAACATATGATTATCTTCCTTTAAATATTTGAAAAAAAAGTCTGTGTTTTATTAAAAGTCAGCTGGTATTTCTGATCAAAACAAAAGCATGCTTCAGAAGCAGTATTTATATGCAGTCAGAACTGTAAATACAGCCTTGATGTTACAGGAAGAATCAAAGTTATAGGACTAATTCAAATAAATCACAATTCTTTTTCCTAATAAGTATAGCTAGAATAGTGCAGAAACCTGTTTGTAACAGGTTTCTTCCCAGTCTATCAGTCACTCTTTAAGATATGGAAAATTGTACTAATTCCATCTAGACATAAGTTAGAGATAGTAATTTCCATGACCTATTGGAGCATTTAATTATGCAAAAATGATGCACTGGAATTTCCATAGAAACAGGGAAGACCTGAAGCATGAGCTCTGATTCAGATATCTGAAGAAAAAACTTCTTTGGAAAATATGTTCATCCAGAGAGTAATAACTAACTACTTTTTCATGCACTACTTGCCTGAAACCCTATTAACTTCTTTTTTTTTTTTTTCCTTTTGAAAGGCTTCCTCATTTACTTTGCTTATGGCATCAGGCACAGTCTCGAAGGTCATCGTAGCGACGGAGATAACGACTCTTGTTCAGAGAATAGTGGGTTGCAAGAAAAGAACCCTGTGGAAGAAGCAGATGAACCTGAAAATTCAAATGAACATGATCAATTTCTTGCACATGAGAGGACAAGTGAATGTTAATCTGTTAATCTGTGCAAACATACAAGTATTTTAAACCTTTAACTGACATTTTACTTGCAGACTGAAATTTCAAATCTTTCTGCCAACATTGTCCCTCTTGAAAGTGTTTACTACAAGGCCTGGATGATATTTTGGACAAGCTGCTAATCCATCTTCATCATTTCAGAACTGACAGTATGGAGATTAATATTTAAATTGAAAAAACAAACAAGAGAAGTACCCTTTGGCAAGCAAAAATTTGGGTGCATTGTTTGAACTGTCATCCCAAATCACTGGTAATCACAAAATATGAAGAATTTTAGAGCTGCCTGCAAGAAGTTCTGAATATTTGACACTGCATTGTGAACACAAGTGCCTCCCGTAGCTTCTCCTTATCTCTGTGACATGTTTTGGTCTCAATCTAATAGCTCTCTTCTTTCTACAGAAGTAAATGCCATGGGAGATAAATTGCAGACAGACCTGGAAAGTATTTCCAGAATGAATGGTAAATGTACAGATCTGATACTTTGCAAAAAGTAGAGGAACATGTATTTATGTAAAAAGAAAAAATTGTTTACCTTTGTTAATCAGTAGTCATGGCGACCTCAAACAGTAAAGATACTTCAGAGGGTTTTAGTCCTTCTAAATAGTATTCAAGATTTCTATTTATGTGAATTCCTTTATTTTCAGAGCTGCTGTGTGTAGAAAATGTTCCCAAGAGCAGCTATGTTGTTTTCTGCAAAAGCATCTGGGAAATAATCTGTTCACGGTAATGACAGTGACATTCATACGCAATTTAGCATGTATTTTGCTTTTGATTTCAGAAGGTACAGGATTTTATTCCTGACTACATAATTTGGTACCTACATACAGCAGTCATCAAGTTTTCCTCCTTACTACTCACTTATTCCCCCTATATGTTCTTCTCCTTTATCATGTGCCAAAGCTGATATTTCTGAGATTAGTTGTTACACATTGCTTCTCCTCAGAAAAATTAATGCATAAAATCTCAGCTTCCTTTTAAGATGGATAGGGAAGTTAAAAAAAAAAAAAAAAAAAAAAAAAAAAAAGAGGCCCAGGCTTTGGAAAAAATATTAATCAAAACAGTATTTCAGTGCTTCACTAAGCCTTAAGCATGTGAGCACAGCAGTTTTGCAGTTTTTTGTGAGCCAAGCCTCCACCCACAAATCCATTCACACGGGTAGGATGTCCAAATACTAATTTATGTAAAGAACCAAATTATTGTAGCAATGCTGGGTGAACAATTATTTTAAGGCTGGTGAAAACGGAAACTGTTATTTCAGCATAAAACTCATGTTACCTAGTCACCCAGATATTTTAGCACTTTTTCTCATCAAGTAGTAGGCTCAAGTCCTGTGAAGTATTCCACAATATGAAGTTATGTTGCAAGAATGTATTTATAAAAATAACTTGCCTAAAGTAAGAACTGTCTTGGACTTTGTCACGGAGAGTTGCAATCTGTTGCCAGTACAAATCATTGGTATTGATCTCTGTTGTTAGGTATAAAAACTTTAGATCCTGTAAGAGCTATGTTCGTTGACAGTGAAAAGCACCTTACTTTTTATAATAGCTGGAATTTCACGCACACAGAGAAAAAAAAAAAAAAAGAGAGAGAAAAAAAAAAGAAAAATAAACTAGTTAAGCTGTTTCTGTCTCCTGTTCTTTTTAACAGCATTAGATTCATGCTTTTTAGTTGTAAAATGACTTCCAGTGTTTTAAGGGAGTAGCATGTCTAAATGTTGAAGGGCAGAAGTGCTTGATAGAGGACCCTGCAATGGGCTGGTATCCCACCGCGGGGCAGATCTGAGGTTCTCAGCCTGACTCCTTTCTTCTCAGCTTGAACTGGGAGGAGAGGGTCCTGCAGCGCAGGCAGCAGCGAGCGGACAGATGTGTGCTGTTGAGCAGTGGCCTCTACTGGCTGCTCAGAATTAGGAGTAGCAATCTGATAATGTAAGAGTCATGCAATGGGTAGAACACCTACCTCTCAACTGAGGTTCCAGCATATACATCCTCTAACTGCAACTGCTGTTGTCCTAAGGACTGTTGTTCTAGCAACTCATGGTCCTTCAGAATGGATGGGACACAGAGGATGAGGAGAAACTATAAGGACAGTGGCAACGGGATACTGTCTTTTAATGAATCCTAATCCATCCAGAATTGATCACAAATTATAGCCGCTTCTTTCCACAATTCATCATTGTTTTACAAGTGCCATTAAAGAAAGACTCAAATCTCGTATTAGACTAATAGAAGTAGATGATATGCTAAGTAAATATTGGGTTGATAGGAACAGGTAGGAATTCTCAGGGCAGTTCTTAGAGCTATTGATAATTTTCAACACCTCAACTCAGTGAACAAAAGAGCTGTCTGCGTCAGTTGGACCTGCTGTTTTAATTGTAATTCTCAACTGGGGCCCATTTTTATGCCAAAAAATGACAAAAGGACTATACGTTCTTGTTTGAAATAGAAATTTAAGACTTTCCAGGCTCTTGAAAGGAATCCAATGTAGTAATACTTTGATATGTCAAAACAAAGGTTTTATTTATATGTAACCAAAAAATTGAGTAAATGAATGTATGTTCTGTTGGTTTTAATCCCCCAAGTGTTTGAAATAGAGAAGCTGATGATGCTTTTCCTCACCAGCTACAACTCTGTCAAGAGCATGGCTTCTTCAGTGGTTATACTTTCAGTGGACATTCTTAACCTGTCTTGCCCAGTACTCTTAAACCCTCAGCTGCAAAAAACGCCATTGCTGTGGCAGCAAGTCAGCAGTTCTGAGGTAAAGCTTTTCCATGACGCCTTTTTAAGCCTACAGCTCTTTTAAAATTCCTTACACATCTCAGTGTGTGGGAAGCAGAGACTTACTTTTTCCTATGGTTGCTGATGCTGCAGAGCAGGTGAGCCAGGCTCCTAAGATGCAAACTGCTGCTGTTCTGTGATGTGCAAGGAAGACCCCATTCCCTCCCAAGGCCATCATATAGAATGTATGTGTGCACGCCTGTCTGTATGTTTGCATCTGCCTGACATTAGCCCATAGTCATTTTGATGTACTGGTTAAAGTAATTTCTATACTGCACTGGAATTTTCCTTTGAAGTGATACTGTCAATATAATAAACTTCTGACTAAAGCAAGTCCTAGCTAAGGCTTCTGGAGATAATTAAATAAAATAAATTTTCTAGCTTATTTGCCTAATGGCTGTGTCAGCACTTTGTGTATTGACAGTTTCCCCTTTCATTTGTATGAATATTTCTCCCCCCTTGTTAGAGAAATTAATTATATAAAAATAAAAGAATGTGCCTGTACAAATGTTGCTAAGGAGATGGGAGCAGCTGCAGCACAGGAACTATCCACTTAACTAATGAGATATAAAATGAAATTAAAGGAAAGTCACTGAGTATTCTCGGTTGCTTCAACTGCGCAAAGCTTCTTTATATGTGTGTATATTTAAAGTCATTATTAGTCAGTGGCTGAGTAAGAACACAACCCAGAAGTAAGATATTTATGCTAATTTTGGTATGCATTTGTATATGCAGTCTTGAAATTCCAAATGCTTTAGTGGGACTTTGCAGGAAAAAAGGACATGCCATACTAGTCCTTACACAGGAGCTATGCATGAAACAAATCCTGATTCTGTTCTCGCATTTGCTGTATATCTGTATTTGCTGAGAGAGCAGCTGAAAGCACAAGTCCTGTGGAATTAAATCGTTATTTTTTAACATAGTTGTTGATATTGTAAATTGTTCTGTGCAAAAAATGGTATGTGTTAAGACAAAATACCTATTATTAAAAGTATCTTACTGTTTTTTTCTTCCTTTGTAGAATAACTTTATTTGCATTGGTACATTCTGGATACCCCTTTAGATAGAGGAATTATTCTTACCTAAGTGGATTTAAGAAACTAAGCCAAATCATATTTAAGGGAGAACAAATAAATATTTTTGTTCTGAGGGATAAGAGTTATAAAACATTTCTGTACAATTCATGTTAACTGAGGTGATCCTCTCGTGGTATTCCAGTCCTAAATCTGCAATATGAAATATTATGAGGTATCTTAGATTTCATTGTCTGTTGTCCTGGATAAAACTATTCTGTTCATAACAGTACACTTTTTCCTGCACAACAAATGCTGGCTAGATTCCTGAAATCTGTCCTATTATGTTTATGTCACCATGTATTAGAGCCATTTATATTATCTGCTGTTAGGGAATAATCAGTAATAAATGTCAACAGTAACGACAGAGGGTTACTTATGTACTTACTTATCAACTTAACTATGCCATCCAGAAACTTCAAATGATATAATGAATTTAGAGGCAAAACTTGGTAAAGCTTAATTATATATTCTATATTTTATTAATGATAAATGTACCAGTCTAGCGACCTTTCCCATAAAATTTATGCAAAGACAAATATATATTTTTAAGAAATAAAAGGCATACTGTTTTCTTGGACGTTTTAATAAGTGCCAATATCAGATGTGCCATAAGCATCCTGAGATACTGAAATCTGAACAACCTGGATAAAATCAGTGACAGTGCAGGAAATCTGTGTGGGACTGTGCAATTGTTTTAATCAGGTATGATGCCTTTGACATTGAGGTTCATTTTGTACAGTAGGAATTTAATTCACATGATGGCTGGCATGTGTTACTTGACTACATAAAAAAGAAAATTAAAGCACCTTTTGATGCTCTTAGGCCCTAATTCTTCCTGGACTTGCCAGGAAGTTTGTACAAATTGCAGTATGTTGATTGAAAGCACTGAGATTACTCAGTGTTTGGCAAATAAATATTTTACAGAAAGAGCAGGCGGTATTTCATATAGTATGGGATCTCTGTAATTGTTTTTCATTTCCTGTACCTTTAGTATTTCTTTCTGGTATATGTTTTGAGGACCTCTGCATTTCTAATAGTTGGACATTTCCAAAGATATATATAATGCCTTTACCATCTCCTGATCGGTTTTCCATTCAATTTTAGAAATCAAACTCCTTAACATTAGCTAAGTTGAAGGATTTCTGTGCACAGATATGCATTACAAAGAACTATGTGTATATATCATTCTTTTTCTTGTCAGTTGGACAAATTCTGTTTTCTTCATATGTTTTCATTGAGTCTTGTGCCAGCTAAACTCCAGCTTCACCGAGTTTAGTTGGAGTCAGGACAAAGGATAAGAGGATTTGAATGTTGAGGAGGGATTTTTTTCTTTTGTGTTACCAGAAAGTAAAGCATGAAACATGTATTACATATTTTTAAAAATAGTTATGTGTGCATCATTTAAAAAAAACATTAGTGTTCATAGCCATTTTAATGTTTTTGTTCATATGTACATTGTAGTGATTATTTCTGTATTATATGCTGCTGAGCATTTAAAATGTAGATAGAATGATTATGATGCAACTTAAACTACAAATTGCTCTACCAATATGAAAAGTCTTGAATTTTTATGAATGTAAAAATGCTTATATTTAAGAATATGGTGCTTGTTTTTTCACTTTTACAATAGAATTGTAATCAGTGATATTTTTAATTATCTTAGTTATTAATTCTGATGGAATCACATTGCTCTTCATTTACTGTAAAATGTGCTTCACGGGAAAGCAATTGTGCATTTGTTCCATATTTTTTAAATAAAGCTGAATATCACTTGTATGTACTTTATACAACAGCTCTAACTTTAACCACAACTATAATTTTAGTAAACACTAAAATAATATAGTGATTTAATAACCATTAGTGTGTCTGATATCTGATGTCATGACATTATACAAATCATAACTCAAAATAAATAACATGATAGCTCGGATGGATTTTATAGAGGGGAAAAAAGCAACCATGTTTTATGTTTAAATCTTTTACATTTCCAGTGGTCTGGAGATAAGGATAGTAGCAGTGTTTTTTTCATACTTGTTTCCAAGCACTCAAGAAGTCACTGAAATAGACAATAACACCCTTCGATTTGGGCATTTTGTCTTACAGTGCCAAGCCAGAGATGATGTTAGGGTTTGATTTCCAGAAGGAGTAAGTAGCCCTCGGTACTCATGGTGCTCAGCTTTCTGAAGCACCATGCCTTGCCCTGGAAGTATCCAACCTCACTGTTGTCTCCTTTTTCCCTTTTTGGGAAAAAAAAAAAAAAAAAAAAAAAAAAAAAAGAACTTGCTCAACTTTAAATAGCACTGTGGGTCTATCAGGAGAATATAAGCATGAGTCTGGGCAATGGATAACAAGTCTTGACACTGAGAACCATGCTCGCAGGGCAAGCTTATCATCTGGCACTTTTTAAAGACATTTGGGTTGTCATCTTTGTTCACAGACTTAAGAGTAGCTTTGACTTTGGGGTTTTTTTCTGAGTTATACTGCAACTCTTTATATATTTCCTTATAAAGTTTTCAAGTGATTAATAGTCACCTTACCATACATACAGGTTTACTAAGACTGATCTGGAAAATCTTGGTCCCAGGAAGCAGTGGGAATATGCCCACTGCTTTAAATGAGGACGAGTCACTCTGCAAGTACCACATTTAAAGCATTGACCTGAAAAGATGTATTTAAGCTATTACTTTACTTGTGTGAGAACTGGGGTCATTACATGTAGGTTTACATTAGTCTTTCTGATGACTATAAATGAAAATATAACTAGTTTTTCATGCATACCCATTTAAAACTAGGAAATTTAAAATTCATAAAATCACTTTCTTTCTTCATTGTATATTTATATAGGAAAAAAGTATATGTCTGCTTAAATGTGTCTTAAATTAATGAAATCTGAGTGTTATTTCCAAGTGCTATTTACCATATTTTCCAAAATATACTAATATTTGGAGCTAAATCACCATTAGATCATTGACCTACCCTGTGCATGGAAGGAAAAGGGAAATTTGACCTTGGGAGGCACATAACGATTGCAACTAGCAGTTTTGCAGATGATAGAAGAAAACCCACTCTTGATCAAAAGCAGGAGCTGTGAATATTTCCAATGCTTATTTGCAGTTTATATTACACATCTTTTCTGAGTTAACTCCAAGATTAATTTCCTTTAACACAAAGACCAATAACCTTTTCAGAATACAATACTTGGTGCTATTCTAATTGCTTAAAGGGGGAAAGACTTTTAAAATGCCCTGTAGCAACAAAAATACCATTTTTCTTCATTTGTTACAGGTAACGGATGACATGATGTATACTCAGGTAACTGCATAAAACCCCTAAGAAGTTCTAGGCAGAATTGTAATGGGTCTGTACTGAATAATAAAAAAGAGATCGTGAAATTTCATCATCTTACTCCACTCCTGGCTGCTTTACCGCTAACCAGAAACCCTGGGGTGAAGCCTCAGACCAGGCTTAGGCAAGGTCTCTGAAGTCTGCATGTGTATTTATGAGGGCAGGGGAGCGTAGTGTATATCCCTTCTAATATTTTTTAATGGATGCAGACCGAGGCTAGACTTCCTTTAAGATTTATAAATGCTCCACTCTCGCATCTAGTCCAGCCCTGGAGCTGTGTCCCCATTTACTTTGTCCTGATTCACACTGAACTGTGGTCTTGCCTACTACGGGGTCTGCCTGTGACTTCTGACAGCCATTACTTTACCTCCTCCCAATCCCGTGTCTTCACCTTGCCCTGCATCTGCCTTTCTGACCCCTCTAGTCACATTTTCCCCACCCTTCTCCTCCAACCAACCCTCAGAATTCAAGAAACAGCTTTTGACAGCTCAGGGCATAAACATACATGCAGCAAAGGTCAAATTTACCATGGTAATTTCTCAGCAGTGAGGATACCTGCACCTTCTCGATGTGCTTCGCACGGGCATCGATCACACATGAAGACCGTGTCACGGACTACAGAGCCCCAGGCAGCAGCACATAGATACGTCCTCTACTTCTGGGCTGTAAGGCGGCTTTTCCTGAGCAGGCTTTTGGGAATCTCTTTGCTGTGGCCGGGCTGGAAAGAGTGCAACAGTTTGACTTAAAAACGTACTTTTCATGTCTTAGGCCAACGCCGATCTGCACCCGACGTCCATCCGTAGGGCCCCCTGTGACAGATAACCTGCGATATATAACCTGTAGGGCTCTCACACTCTGCTCCCCTCCCTGCTCTCCCCCCTGCATGCCCAAAGGCAACCAACAGCTTGCACCTGCACGAAGCCACCCGTGGCAAAGCGCACCTGCCACCAACGAGCTCGATCGAGCAATAAACTCCCACAGGTGTCTCCCCCGGGGTTGAGATTATTTAGAACGCAGCTCCGTTCCTGCCCTGAACGGGGAGTCCTGCGGGAGTGCGCCGGGCCTCTGCTAGCGACGGCCGGGGGGAGCGAGGCGTTCGGGGGAGCCCCGCGGAGCCTTCCTCGCGTGGGCGCCGCAGCGGGTGCCCCAGCCCGCGGAGGACACCCCTCCGGCCCGGCCCGCCCGTGGGGGCTGGCGGCTCGTCCCGCCCTGAGGCGGCGGGAGCGGCCCCCGGGGCAGCGCGGCCGCGACGGGAGCCGCGGGCAGGCGGCCCCGCCGGCTCCTCCCCGCCGCGGGGCCGCCTGCCCGGCGCCGCGCCCGCCCCGCCTCAGCCCGGCGCCCTCCGCCGCTCCCGCCATGCGGCTCTGGGTGCTCCTCAGCCTGCTGCTGCTGCAGGAGACGCTGCCACACGGTGAGCCGCCGCCTCCCCGCCGCGTTCCCCCCCGCTTTGCCGGCCGCCTCGGGCTTTCCCCGCTGCCGGGCCGCCTCACTCCCTCTCGGCGCGGCCGCCCCTGCCCCGCGGAGCTGGCGGCCGGTGCCCTCGGCAGGCCCCCCGCCATGACAGCCCCCGCCGCGGGGCCGGGAGCCATCTCGGGGGCGGTGGGGGCTCCCGGCCCGCTGGGCAGAGGCGGAGCGGAGGGACGGCGGGTTGGTCTGCGGCCAGCAGGCCGCCGAGGCTTTCCGCCCCGGGACCGAAAATGGGGTTTCGCTCCGTGCTGGGGCTTTGGGGAGAGGCGTTTGCGGCCACACCAGCTGCACCCCCCCCCCCGCCGCCGCTTCTCCCGGGTCGACGTTTCAGTCCGCGCCTCAGTCGCCGTGCCGCGGCTGGGCGAGGTGCTCGGGTTTAAAAAAAGAAAAAAAGAAAAAAGTTTTGTGCACGGTTGGTCGTTTGTAGTGAAGACCGAACGTTACTCGTAACTCAGTTTCAGGTTGTGGTGGAGTCTTGATGGGTGAAGAGGCAAGTTTTTTGACCAATAAGGGATGGTCATAACTTATCCTTGACTTTAATGCGGACTTTAGCTAGGCAAAGGCGAGGCAGTTTCCCTGTTGCAAAGTGTGAATAAACTTCCTAAAACTTATTCAGAAGAAACAGCAGAAAAAATTCCTTTGTTTTTCACCATGGAAGGGCTTGGTGAACAAGGCCTGTATAGCCTGTGGAAGGGTTTGTAGAGCAATTGGAGGCAGGATCCACCGAGGTGTGTGGTGAAAGGTAAAAAAAAAAAAAAAAAAAAGCAGCTACCACAAATGGCCCAGGAGGTTGTAAGTTAAAAATTCTTACAAGTTAAAAATTCTTCAAAGAACATAAAGAAATCCTTCACTCTCAGAGCTGTTAAGCACTGAAATAAGTTTTCAGGGGAGGCGGCTGAGCCTTCAGCCTTTGGGGTAGACGGAGCTCAACAAGACAAGGCTGTGAATAACTGAACAGGGGTGGGAAGAGACTTCCAGAAGTCCTTTCCAGCCCAATTTTTCTTATGACTGCGTGCAAAGAAATTGCACTGTTGGACTAGTGTGGTGTGGAAGAGGATTTTTGCTGAGATCTGGCCTGTGGGTGTGCCCTACCACATCGAGATAAGTGTTTGCTATTTGAGAAGTAGACAATAAAAATACAGAACGAGAAAGGAGTTGAAACTTGGGCAAAAGATTTCCCAGGCCTATGTTTCTCTTAGTTTGTCTAGTTTATACTGAAGTTTGACTGGGTGCTTCATGCTGTCATCCAAAAGCTTAGCTACAGGAGAAAGCGATGTGACATATTTAATGACAGTTCCTTGTCTAAAGCTAGAGTTATAATTCCTAATGTGGACACTGTGATTTCAAAATAGCCTTCCTAATTTAGCATATATTAGTTTATGAACAGTGAAGTATGTCCTTCCTGATTATCCATATGAGTGTTGATTTGTCACACTGTGTCTGTGTATGAGTGTTTGGATGATTAAATTTTTGTTTGAAGTACCACAAATAGAGATGTGTCCAACCTGTTTTGTTACATTAGTTGTGATCACAAAGACTCTACCCTCTCATCTTAGTCCTGGTGGTTAAAAATTATTCTTTATGGTAACCTTATGCTTATTTTTTTTTTTTTTTTTGTCCAAGGAAGACTTCATCAGTATTAACGAGAGTTGAAAAGTCTCTGATGTTGCCAAGATCTAGCATGAGGCCTGCCTCATGCAGTGGCTACATCTGGTGGACAGTGAACACTGTTCCTCTGTCTTTGTGGGAGACCTTGCTCATTCTCTGCTTCTGAAGTTTTCTAGGTGGACACTTGAAGATCAGGGGCCGCCTTGAGTTATAACCTGTGCATCTATGAAACCAGTGGAATGTGCATGTGGATATAGGTGGTGTCTCAAGTCAAAACTGGATGCTTTCTAACGTTATGTGACTAACGCTCGTTTGGGGATTGTTGTGTGTAACATCTATGAGAACAAGTGGCAGACAAGCATTAAAGGATAGGATGAGACAAATACTGTGAATCAGGAGCAAAAGTGCTGTGTGGTGTATTTCTGTGACGTAGAGATACATAGTCTACTTCAGTATGATGAGTTAGTAGGGACCCTGAATGTACTGTTGTAGAGGAAATCAGTACAGTGCATCTTAGAACTGACATTAGGAGCTGATCAGAGGTAGAAAGGAGAAGTTTTCTCAGTGAATATTTTTCTAAGTTTTAATTTCTTTATTTTTAATAGGAAGTGCTATTGGAGGATTAAAACGATGAAGGCTCTGCATAAATCTAGTGAGACAGTAAAGTATCCCAAACATGGCATATTCATGCACTTGCATAAATGGGCTATTTGAGTTTGTCTCCTTCCCTGAGAAAGTCTTGCAGTTTGGGTAAGGAAATGGAGGAATCTGATGGGTTCTGTGTTCCTGGATTTGATTGTGTATCTTCTCTGTCTTAGGTGATAGACTACTATACCAGTTAATTTAGTTATTGGGCATACAGATACTTGATTTAGCGATGAGATAAGGCAGGACTGTGAGGTGCAGAAGTGGTGGTGTCAGTAGATACTTGGGCAGACTTAGGAGTGCTGGGGAAGAGCGTGATCGTGGCTTGCTTGGAAACTCAGCTCTTGTGGAGGTGCAGCAGAGAGACAGAACTAGGTTTAACATGTAGGAGCATAAAAGCTGCTATGATGGTGTTTCCTAAAATGCCCCTGCTGTTACCTGCAGGGGAATACAAGGTCAAACAGACAAGAGTCTCACTGTAGCTGGGAGCGTGGTATAGGAGGAAAGTGTTCAGACTCGTTGGGAACTACGGAAACGTGGAACAGATGGAGACTGTGCAGGGAGGAAAAACTTAATCTAGATAAAATCAAAACCAGGCTTCTGGCACTTAAAACTGAAAAGCTTTCATAGGGGAGTCCTTAACAGTGTCTTGAAGACAGTGTGTCAGATGTGGAAGAGACCACAGTTTGGGATGATGCATTTCCTTAGGGCGAGGTTGTAAGATCTGTGTGCCTTTGTACAAGTGTCAGGACTGAGGTTGGCAGGATGTAGTGGAAATGGCAGAGTGGTTTGAACAAATGGTCCCAATTCAATAGGGCGAAAGGGCGGCTGGACTATAGGGTATGTGCTTCTACAGACAAATCTGGAAAGTACAACTGGGAACAGGAACGGCTGGTTTGAAATGGGAATGCTTGTTCAAAAGGCTTATCATGCCGGTTAGTGATGATACTTCTAATACTAGGGCACAAATTACACAGGAAGGATGGAGTAGCTTAACCCAAAGGAGAAGCTACAGCATGTGTTAAAGCAAGCTTTCGTGTTAAATCTGTTCCTGGTGGATTTTGTCAGTAAAAGTCATCTAGACTAAAATACTAGCCCTGTGGAGAACAAATAACCTGGTTACTGACCACCCAGTGTGATGGAGGGAATGATTGCTCTGTTAAGGGAAATCAGAGGTGCAGCAAGGGGCTAACTAGATGGAAAAGCAAAAGGAAGAATTACTTGACCTCACATAGGTTGGATCACACATGTCAGGGTGTGAGGCCAAGTGCAATTTTTTAGATGCTACAAATGATGACTTCTTAGATCCACTACTCAGAGAACCCCTGAGAAAAGCAGCAGTTCTTGACTTGATTTGAAGCAGTACTCAGCTAATTGGATTCAGATGTTGCTTTAGAACAGCCAGACTGTAGTTTTAATATTCTTGCAGCAATAATAAAAGCCAAAGAAAGGACTGATGCATTTAATTTTGGAAGGGGGAATTACAGAAGATGAGGAGACTCATTAACTCACATAGGTGTTAAATATAAAAACCAGAATCAGGCAGACAAAAGGAGTTTGAGTAACAGCTTGCAAAAGGGATAAAACCAGCCATAAATCCTTTTCTTCTGATGAATAAACAAAAGGAGCTAGAGATGTGCACGTGCCTGCAGGGCTGTGATCTTATTGGCATCACAGAGATGTGGTGGGATGGCTCCTATGACTGGAGCATTGGAATGGAATGATACAGGCTCTTTAGGAAGGACAGGCAGGGGAGACCAGGCGTGGGTGTCACCCTCTATGTCAGTGACCAGCTGGAGTGCATGGAGCTCTGCCTGGGGATGGATGAGGAGCCAACTGAGAGTTTATGGGTCAGGCTTAAAGGAAGCATAGGGACAGGAGATGTTATATTTGGGGGTCTGCTGCAGGCCACCTGACCAGGAAAACTGAGTGGATGAGGCTGTCTGTAGACAGATAGGAGCAGCCTTATGTTCACAAGTGATAGAAGAGCTGATGAGGAGAGGTGCTATGCTGGACCTTGTTCTCACCAACGAGGAGGGGCTGGTGGGGGGTGTGAAGCTCAAGGACAGCCTTGGCTGCAGTGACCATGAAATGGTGGAGTTCAGGATCCTTAGGGCAGCAAGGAGGGCACACAACAAACTTACTCCCCTGAACTTCAGGAGAGCAGACTTTGGCCTCTTCAGGGATCTGCTTGGCAGAGTAGCATGGGATAAAGCCCTGGAGGGAAGAGGGGCCCGAGAAAGCAGGTTGCTATTTAGGGATCACCTCCAAGCTCAGCAGCGATGCATCCCAACAGAGGAACTCAGGCAGAAATGCCAGGAGGCCTGCGTGGATGAACAGGGAGCTTCTGGATGTACTCAGACTCAAAAAGGGATCCTACAGTGAGTAGAAGCAAGGACAGGTACCCTGGCAGGAATACAGAAATTGTTTGAGCAGCCAGGGCTCAAGTTAGGAAAGCTAAAGTCCTGATAGAATTACATCCGGCCAGGGACATTAAGGGCTACAAGAAAAGCTTCTTTAGGTATGTCAGTGATAAAAGGAAGACTAGAGAAAGTGTGGGCCCTCTCCAAAAGGAATCAGGGGACCTGGTTACCCAGGATATGGAGAAAACTGAGGTACTCGGTGACTTTTGCTTTTATCTTCACTGGCAAGTGCTCCAGCCTCATACCCCAAGACACAGAAGGCAAAGGCAGGAGCTGGAACAAAGAAGAACCTCTGACTGTAGGAGAAGATCATGTCTGAGACAATCTAAGGAACAAGTCCACGGGACCAGATGAGATGCATCTGTGGGTCCTGAGGGAACTAGTGGATGAAGTGGCTAAACCACTATCCATCGTATTTGAGAAGTCGCAGTCTAGTAAAGTTCCCACTGACTGGAAAAAGAGAAACATAACCCCCATTTTTATAAAGGGGAGAAAGGAAGACCTGAGGAACTACAGGCCAGTCAGTCTCGCCTCTGCCCAGTAATATCATGGAGCAGATCCTCCTGGAAACTATGCTAAGGCACATGGAAAATGAGGTGATTGGTGACAGCCAACGTGGCATCACTAAGGGCAAATTGTGCCTGACTCTGACAGAGTTACAGCATTGGTGGATAAGGGAAGAGCAACTGATGTCGTTTACCTGGACTTGTGCAAAGCATTTAACACTGTCCCACATGACATCCTTGTCTCTAAATTTGAAAGACGTGGCTTTGCCAGCTGGACCACATAGCGGATAAGGAATTGGCTGGATGATTGCTCTGAGAGCTGCAGTCAGTGGTTCAATGCCTGCATGGAAAGCAGTGATGAGTGGCATTCCTCAAGGTTTGGTGTTGGGGACAGTGCTGCTTAACATCTTCGTTGGTGGCATAGACAGTGGGATTGAGTGCACCCTCAGCAAGTTTGATGGCAATAATCTGTGCGGTGTGATTGACATGCTGGAGGGAAGGGATGCCATCCAGAGGGACCCTGAAAGATGGGCTCGTGTGAACCTCATTAAGTTTAGCAAGGTCCTGGACATGGGTTGGGGCAACCCCAAGCACTAATACAGACTGGGTGATGAGTGATTGAAAGCAGCCCTGTGGAGAAGGACTTGGGGGTGTTTGAGAAGCTCAGCATGACCTGGCAATGTGCATTTGCAGCCCAGAAAGCCAACTGGGCTGCATCAAAAGAAGTGGAACCTATTATATAGAAGACAGAATATATTACAAGGCTCAGTAGGATAGTGCATTCAAAGTTTGATACACTTATGTCACCATTTTTCATTAAAACTCCCCAAAGCACCTCTAGAGTAAACATGGATCACTCAAATAATTGAGGTTTTTCATTTAAGTTTTACTTTTTGTAGGTGTTCTTTCTCATCCCCTATTCCTACCAGCCTTAGAAATTTTGTAGCTGTCTCTGGCTGTCCTACCCCAGCACATGGAATCATAGAAAAGTTTGGGTTGGAAAGGACCTTAAAGACCATCAAGTTCCAGCCCCCCTGCCACGGGCAGGGCTCCCTTCCCCCAGCCCAGGGTGCTCCCAGCCCCGTCCAACCTGGCCTTGAACCCTGCCAAGGAGGGGGCAGCCACAGCTGCTCTGGGCAACCTGTGTCAGTGTCTCACCACCATCACAGTAAAGAATTTCTTCCTTATAGCTAACCTGAATATACCCTCTTTCAATTTAAAACCGTTACCCCTCATCCTTTCCCTACACTCCCTGATAAAGAGTCCCTCCCCACCTTTCCTGTAGCCCCCTTTAGGTACTGAAAGGCTGCTATAAGGTCTCCCTGGATCCTTCACTTTTTGAGGCTGAACACCCCCAACTCAGCCTGGCCTCATAAGGGAGGTGCTCCAGCCCCCTGGTCATCTTCGTGGCCTCCTCTGGACCCGCTCGAGCAGGTCCATGTCCTCCTTGTGTTGGGGGCCCCAGAGCTGGACACAGCACTGCAGGTGGGGCCTCACGAGAGCAGAGTAGAGGGGGAGAATCCCCTCCCTTGACCTGCTGGCCACACTGCTCTTGATGCAGCCCAGGTTACTGCTGGCTTTCTGGGCTGCGTGTGCCTATTGCTGGCTCATAGTCAGTTTTCTACCCACTAACAGCCCCAAGTTGTTCTCGGCAGTGTTTAAGTGCCATGGTTTGATATACACCTGAGGCTTAAAAGAAATTTGAATCTGAAATTGCTGAAGTCTTAACTTGGGTGCATAACCTATCATATAACTATTCCTTTCCAGGGAAATGGAAATAAGCCGGTATTTTAAGATTTTTTTTTGAGGGAGGTACAGGCACAAAGCCAAATGTCTGTATTCTGTAAATTGAACTCTGGTGTAGTTTGAGCCCAGAGGGCAACTGAACACACTGCACTAATACATGCACTGTGTCACTTGCTAGGGTAATGTGCTCTGAGTAACAAGAAAAGCCCTACTTCACCTACTTCACGGTCTTCTATGGGAGACAGCGACCACTTCTCTGAAATTCTCCTTTGCTACCATTGTTCCCCCAAGTTTGTCACTTTTGCATGGCCGGTGGCATCACAGATGTGAAGAAAAAAATGGAAGAAGCCCATATATTTGTTTCACTCTCCCTTCCAGAACTGATAAAATGTTACTCTGTATCTTAAAATGTCCTGATCTTTGGAAGGCGTTTCTGTTTGATCTCTCTACTCTGTGGTGAGGCATCTTTGCAATCAGCTTCATAAATGCTCATAATGTAGAACTGGGAAAAATGTTTTTGTGGCAGGGAAAGGGTATACCTTAGCAACTGGAAGTGTGCCTCTCAAAAAAATTATTGCATAGAGTCCAAAAGAGTTCAAAATGCATTGAGCAAACTAAGAGGATGACAGCATTGCTGTCTTCCAGTTTATTTTCCAGTTGGTGTGAGACCAGAAGACAAATGCACAGAAGATAAATACACAGGCAGCCTTACTGTGCACACTGAGATCATGGAGTCACAGAATGGCTAAGGTTGGAAGAGACCTCTTGGGATCATCCAGTCCAGCCCCACGCTCAAGCAGGTTGCCCAGGACTGTTTCCAGTGGGTGTTGAATATCTCCATGGGTGGATACTCCACAGCCTCTCTGGGCAACCTGTGCCGGTGCTTGACCAGCATCACAGTAAAAAGCATTTTCTTATGTTCAGATTGAATTTTCTGGTTTTTAAATTTGTGCTTACAAAGCTCTGTCCATTTAAGAGAGACGTGGTGTACGTCAGGCTGGACTTAGAGAAGTGGAAGGTTGAAGCAGTGCAAGGTGTCCAGCCAGGGTATGAGGAATTGTCACAGGAGCCATCAGTGGCAGGAGTCTGGAAGTGCTGCTGTTCATATTGCAGCCAGTAACAGTTTTAATTCATGCTAACTCAGGATAGAGAGGGAACTTGCTGATTTATTTGTATAATAAAGTGCTGCAAACATTTTCATGTGGAAAACCCATGTTCAATGTGAATTAGTTGTCAAGCACAGTTAGTGGAGTTTTTGGTGTCTGGGAACAGCAGTTTTAGGCTCATCTTGCAAAAGATCTGTGCTTCTTGCTGTCTGTTAAAGTTAAATCTTGATTTTATATATATATATTTTTATTTAAATTTGAGACATCTCACTTTTTAATTTCCTTTCCATTTTATTTGCTTTATTTTTAGACGTCTGGGTATCCCTGTTGTCTCTAGCAAGTAATGAAATCTCTTACTGTTTGCCTCTAAATAAAGTTCTGTTTTCATCTGGATTGTCAAAATAAATGGCAGTTACAGAGAAGTGATGAATTAAATACTGCCTTCAAGTGACTTATGTGCCATTTGTATTTTCACAGTACATACTGTAAAAGAAGAAAACTGCATCGCTATCAGTATTTTGTAAAACATTGTGAAGTTCCACACTTGCCAGTTTTTCTTCATCACGGGTCTCTTCTGGTAACATGTGAAAAGGTTATGCAGAACTGATGGGTGCGTGACATTCTTACAAAGACGGAAAACTTCTGTAGCATTGCATACTAAATGGCGATGACATGAGGTAGAAATTACAGAAGTAACTGGAGATAGAAATGCTGTATTTCTTTCCCTTCCCACTTGTGAAGTTCTCATACCTTACATATTTGTCTGTTTATGTGAACTGTAAGTATAGGTTTTCCACATGTTGTTGAAAGCTCTCTTTTCTTCCTTTTTCCCCTGGAAAATGGGTCATGCCAGAGACTTCAAAAACGTACAGAAATTAACTCTTACTCATTTTTATGAATCCTTTATAGGAAGAACAAAACTTTAGTTATTCTCTGTGAAAATAAGGAAGATTTGTTTTGCAAAAGGTCTATATAACCTTTTTCTAATCAGTAACATTGCTGCCTTTTCTTTATTTTACTAGTTATTGGACAGCCTTTGAAGAGTAAGCGTCCAAAAGAACCTGGTGAAAACAAAATAAAGCCTGTTAACAAAAAAGTAAAACCCAAAACCCCCAAAATGAAGGAGAGAGAATCTGCTGACTCCTCTTTGAAGTCCCAGTCCATACTGACACAGGTGATGGATAAAGGTCGTTTCCAGAAGGTAGCTGCCACTTTAAGCCTGTCTGCAGGACAAAGCATAGAACTGCGATGTAAGGGGAATAATGTTACTTGGACCTATCCTTCATACTTAGACACCTTTAAAGACTCCAGACTCAGGTAAGCCATTTTTCATTTTCGGGGGGGAAAATAAATCCAGAACTTGTTTTTACTACTACTTTCAACACCACTGGGTTTTTTGTTTGTTTGCTTATATTTTTACAATCAAGATGGCCCACCTAGCGGTTTCTAATGTCAACAAAAAAAGGATGAACATCTTTCAGTTGTCACCAGTTACTACCCTGTGATTTGCTCTGTGGAATAGTCTTGTAGCATGTGAACTGGAATTCCTTCAGATGAATCTAAAATAGAAGATGCGGTCCAGCAGGACGCCAGTGTGCTCCAACCACTAACAGAGAACCACATTAGAGCTAGTCCAAAGTAAAACTCTCAAAATGTGCGAATGTGGATGTCACCACCAACTCTGTTGCTCTACAGAGACCTGCTCCTGGTGGGCTGTACTGGTCGCTAATGTAGCGACCCCCTGAGACACTAAGATTAATTTCCTGAAGAGGCTCAAAGCCACATCTTGCAACTAGCAAAAAAATACACTGATCGCCATGCTAAGGAGCAAGTAAGAGTGGTCTTTACTTTTTCAGTCAAAGTTACTTTTCTGTGTAAAAGGGACTTGCAGGGTTTGTGATGTAGCAGAGTTTAGTGCTGAGGATAGTTACCTTGCGTTTAGGAAGGCTTTTTCTTTCACCTAGTGACATCCTAATGGAAACTGCATTAATAGTTGTTAGAGGAGGAAGGAGGGACTGAGGACTCTCTCCCTTTCTCTGCCCCACCCACCAGGTGAGTGCCCTGTGGCTCTGAACATCTCCATAAAAAACATATTTGTTTGCCTTCTTAGTTTTTGAGGATAGTACAGATAGCCAAATGTAGATTGTGTTGTAATTTAGTTCTGCATTTGAAAGAGGAGGCATATAAGGAGCTTAAGGATGACTTCCACAGGCATTTTTTGCCATGAGTAGTGTTTGTTTTCACTGGCTGTTTTATGGAGATTTTTATGTCCATGAAAGACAAGTAGTGAGGAGACTGTGGAGTACTGAATGATGCCCTAAGAAAGAGCTGTAAGGAGCTTCTCTTGGATTATTAGGTGAGGGAGGCACAGAGGTATGGGCAAAGGTATCAACTCCTATTGCCCTTTTGTTCCTAAACTAAGTACAAGTGTATATGCTCTCTGTAAATAACTGAGGTTATCTGAATCTCTGTGATCCATTTCACTTATTTACAGGTATGATGCTACCTTAAAATCACTCCCAGTTAATTAATTTTTCACATACATTCTTATCCTTTCCACTTCTCTTTTCAGAGAGGAATGTTGAAGATTGGCAGTTATAGATTGATCTCTAATATATCCTGAAATTTGTGTGCCAGTTCTTTTCAGAGTGTTAATTTGCTTGTCCCCTGATGACTAAGGAATTCAAGAACTACGCTGGCTGAATAAACCTTTGTAGCTAGTGCAAGGCTTCTGTTATAAGAAGTTACAGCAGTAAGCCTGTTTCTGCTGAGGGCTTATCGCAGCAATATCTCTCAAAAGATTTTGTGGCTGATTTAAATTGATGCTTTTTCTTTTGCAAGACATAGTTTTGTCTGGATTTATTCCGGTAGGTGGCGTCTGTCGGCTGCAGTACCGGCCTGGCGTCCAGCAAGCGGATGCTGAATGCACAAAATAAAAGCAGCAGGGAGCATGGGTGTGTGTCGTGGTGGTGGTTGTCGTTTTCAAGTGTATCTTCATGTTTTGTGCATTTGAAAACAGGTTGCTGGCATGATTTGGTCCTGTAGACCTCCAGGTCATGTTTTCTGAGTATTAGCATCTGGCACTGAAGAAGGCAAGGCAAGTATTCACAGATTTTGGAGAGGAATCTGAATGCTGCTTCATTATTTGTTTGACTGTCTTGTCCTCCCTTGCAAAATCAGGTACTTTTCTGGTGATGCACATGAAACAAAATACAAGAATTTAAGGTAGTTTTTTGGGGAAAAAAGATAAGCATTTCCTAATTGTGTAGTTTGGCGTTTTGTAGTTTGAAGTAGTTTGAGATTCTGTTGCCTCAGAAATTTACCTTTCTGTTCTTGCTCAAGTTCACAGTATTTGTAATATTTTAACCATATAACAAAAGTTAATAATGCCACACAAAATAAATGCTATAAAACATTTTGGCTGCGTGGATATAACTTGCCTAAGTATTTATTTTCTTTTAGAAGTATCTTAGGCTTATATTTAAAGGTCTATACTGAAATAAGATGATATTTACTTTAGAAAAATGATCTTAAAATAAGTTATTGAAGCAGCTAGACCGAGTCAGCAATTTTAAATGTAAGCAGAAGGTCCCATAATTATCTAGAGAAATTTAAAGCATAGGTTAGTAGCACACTTCAGAGTCACAGAATAGTAATAATTTATGGAGACACTGACCACAGAATGTTGTGCAGTTATATTTTCATCACATTTTTAGTGTTTTGGTAATTATCTCAAGATCTTTGCTGCAGTGCTAATAGATGCATATGAAACAAAGTCTGCTTTATAGAATGTGAAGTATGAAATTTATATTCTGTGGTTTTAGAAAACTTTGAATTTAACTGGAAATATCATAAAGTTAACATATTTAGTTAACTCAGCTGGTAGTGTTTGTAAGTGAACTGGCGGCAGAGAAGGTTCTTAACAACGTTATTGTCTTTTAAGAGGAGCTTAGATCTTCCTCATGGCATACAAAAGACCATGCACCAAGCACCAATTACAATAGGTAAATTTTAAAATTTTATGAATCTATTGCACTCATTCTTTTTTAAAAAAATGCTGAATACGGGGCGAAGGGGGGAAAACCAGAGACATTATCAGCAAATAACCCTACAGCAAAAATTGTTTAATCATCTAGATAGATATATGTCCAGTATCTTCTAACATTTTTTAAGTGCTTAAAAACCAAGTTGAAGGTAATCCCTTAATTACCAATTAGTGAGGTGTGGAGTGAAACCCAAGTTAATTAACTAGGCTAGTCTTTTTTACCTTGGATTTCCATGCTGGTCTTGCTGGAGTTGGGGCACTGGTGCAAACCAGAGTTGGCATCGGCAGCGGAAGGGAAGTGGTTGGGGTCTGAGGAGGTAATGGGAAGTGCAGGAGGGGAGTGGGTTGCCAGAGCATAAGTGAGGAGGATGGGCAGTGGAGCTGAGGTCTGTGCAATTGCTGGGGACTAGTGACTACCGTTCTTTTGTTCATCTCTATGAACCTACAGCAGCAGATGCTTGGGCATCCAATTCCTGGATTTTCTTTGAATAATTCGAGGGATGTACAAATTCAGCTGGTCTGGTGGGAATTCTAGCAATAAGCAAGGTGTTTTACATCTCCTGGGAACTGCTAACATCCTGCAACTCTAGCTGCTACAAGAAGAGCCTTTAAGGACCCTGGTGCCTAACAGAATTGTAATTACAGGAGGCAGAAGAGAACTTAATGTTCTGGGTGGTGAGGGCATTTGTAGCTCGGTTGGTCAGAGGTTTGTTAACAGCAGAGGTCCAGGGCAGGAGCTGACAATGAATATGCCCACTCTGTTCTGTTTCCCATCTGTAGTTCTGGGAGAAGAGGATGTTGTGGTTTGCAGCTAGTTAAATTTAGCATCCACATAATGTATTTCCTATAGGTGGTTGCAAAAAGAAGTGGGGATAAAAGTCAGATGTTTTGCCTCCATGCCATGCTTATCACATTTTTAACTCCCCTATATGGTAAGGAGGATACAGCAGCCTGGAAGACAATATGATTTTTCTAAGAAGGAAGAGATTATAATTAGAAAAGCCATTTCTGTAGCATTAGCGGCTGTGCTTTCTTTGAGTTTATCTTTGTAGGTATACTTTATTTCCTGGGAAATAAAATATTTTTCTTGTACTAGAGAGTCTGTTTTTAATAGCAAATGTTAACAGCTGCAAACCTAGAATTATCATATGGGGGAGGGAAAGACACTGATTAAGAGGAGGATGGCGACTTTGGCTGTTTCTTGTTGAGCCAGAGGAAAAATCCTCTCTTTCCACTAAGACTGTAATTACTTACTTGGCTTTAGAGTCTGTAGCATGCAATGCAACTCTGGGGAAAAAGCTAGAATCAAGCAAACTTGGCTTCTGAGTTAAGGACACACAGCAGCTTGCTTTGGGACTAGCTTCTTATCTGTAATGCTCTTGCCTTGTGCAGCATAAATACACCCTGCAGATAACTTCTTGTCTGAAAAGTTTATGTATTGGCTGAACTGGCCAAAAATCGTGGCAGTGTTAATGGTCAAAGGTAGCTTGTGGATCTGCAGAACAGAAGGGCTGGAATGCTATTTTTTAAGTCTGTGCATAACAGATTACTAGCTGTAGGCTCTCCCAGAAACTGGATCTACAGTGTATGAAAAGGATCAAAAAACTGAAAGAGGTGAAAGAAAAATAAGGTCAAGCACATTTTCCCTTTCTTATGCTTTATAGCAAAAAGCTGCTCTAGATGAAGGCAGTCTACCTGCGCATAATCTCTGCTCTGCCTGACTTGGAGTAGGAGTCTCGCACTTGCTGAAGTCTGGCTGTATTTATCACAGAAATTCATCTGATAAATAAACTCACATGAAATGGAACTGCTCCAGTGGAAGAAGCTGGGGCAAAGAGCTGGAGATGTACCATGTGAACATTTGTGTGTGTGTGGGGGGTGTATGGACAGGAGCACTCTCACAAGTACTGAGGAAACTGTATGTTGTAGAGGGCAAAATCAGACTGTGTTCAATGAATGCAGGCTCGGGCTGGCTCAGTGGGATGTTGGTTCTGCTTATGTGTGTAACTGAATTTCATTTTGTTCCATGTGCTCTGAAGTCTGAAAGCTAGGGATTTTTTTCTTGTGTTAAACAGTAAGATGTTATGTTCCTCTTCTAGTGAGCTTGTACTTGAGATAAGTTCTCTTTTGTCAGTATGAATGCAGCTGCTTGAGAGGAGTTTCCTAGATGTTCTTTGAGCGATGCTATGTACGCTGTCTTTTTATATCTTTTTTTTTTTTAGCTTCTAAACTTGGCATAATTTTTCTGGCAAAGATCTTTTGATCTTCAAGTAACTAAAGCTTCATAAAATGAGCATATGGAATACGATTTTGGAGTAGTTCTCTAGTTTCTTTAAACAGTCTTGAAATGTTTGTATATACAACATTTTTACTTTGAGATATGTAGAGCGCAGCAAAGTTTCGGCTTTGAGTCAGATTTCCCAGCATCTAAAATACTCATGAAATAAAAGTTATCCTGGAAATATTGGTCAGCTGCAGGGTTTGCCATTTATGATTTAGTTTATATGGCCTGTTTTGTCTCCTTAGTGTATGGTCATGTCACAAGTTTCAACACTTCCACTCTCGGTTGCCAGGTTTTGTTAGTGCATGTTTGTGTATGACTACCTTGCTAGGCTATTTCCATTGATTATTGGATAGATTGTTCTCAGTTAAGTAGAACACACTGTACAATAATTAATTAACTCTGACCTTATTTTTCTGTCTGTTGGGATTTTGAGCTATAGTTCAGTGTCTGCATTAACGGTTGAAAGCAAAAATGTTCTGGCATAATGGTTTCTCTGTAATGTTGACATTTAGTACTGGATGCTTGCAAAACATTTTATGCTGATGTAGTCATGTAGCCTATGAAATGTGAACTGCGAAACTAAGTAGTAATAATAGAGATGAGGACATGTTTTGGATTTCTCTTTTCTTTGTGTTGGGTATGATACACAACAGGATCTCTTGCAAGAATAGGAATCTTTCAAAGCCCATCCAAAAACTGAAGATAATTTATAATGTAAGGCAGTGTATATATTAAACATGAAAATGATACTGTTTCATAGTTACATGGTTCCAAAAAGTGGAATCAGATGAGGTCGTGTAGGACAAGTGCATTAGCGGGTAGGAAACATGATTTGCCTGTTTCCTCAGGCAGGCCTCAAAACTGCCCCGTGGTGGGTGAGTGTACTAATGGTGTCTGAGGGCTTTAATGGAAAAGATTATTCTCAGTTAGCCCTCTTCGAGTTGTGTGTTTGGTGTGGTTTTAATTCCGAGACTACCGGCTTTGGCTGGGGGCTGAATTGGGATCAGGTTACATGAACCGATGCTCCTGATGGCTGGTGGTAGTGCAGACTGCCAGCAGAGTGCCTAGGGAGCCAGAAACTTTGGGAAGGGTGTGGAGCTGAAAGCAGCGGCCTCTCCATTTAAGCAGGCAGTGGGGGTCTGCCTGCAATGGAGATGTGAGCAAAACAGCATTTAGAGCACACAGCGCAGTCAGGCATGTCTGTAGTACCACTGCTACACAGTGACAAGGTGTTTCAGAGATTAAGAATTTCTTCAAAGCATGCTAATCCCTGAAATAAATAATTCAGTCAGGCACCTGCTTTACAGAATAACTGCCACATCAGGAAGATGAAATAGGAGGATAATAAATACTCAGAGAACCCCCAGTTGAATAAGAGCACGGGAGCTGTTCAGAGTTGATGCACGCTGCATATTTGCCCAGACCCCATTTGAAACACTGAAAAGGAGTTTGCTATTAAATGCCTAAAACTGGAAAAACCTCTCCTGACTTGATTGCAACAGAAATGACCTTGTAACTTGATGTCTTGCAAAGTAAAGCAGGAAACTTTTGTGTCCTGGATGTGCTACCATGTAAAGGCAGGTGGTTGAAAATAACTGTTTTAAGGGTCAGAGCAGCAGTGTGTACTGCCACACACGCTGTCCTGAGAGGGCTCCCCAGGAATTGGGTCTGTTGGGCCATTGCTTTTGCAATCCATCCAACAGCAACACAGTCAACGCTGCCAAATACAACACCATCTGTCTGCAGGAAAGAGCCAGGAAAGCAAACCTTGAAATGAAAAAGAGCAAGACGAGATTGTGGTTGCTGAATTTCAGAGATAAGACCTTTGACCCTTAGAAGCATTGTCAGTATCTACACGTGTATCTACACACACATATTTACACATTTACAAATTTCGGTCCACTGAGAGATGTATGTGGGAAATCTGGGAGAAGGCACAAAAAGCAAATTAAGTCTCTGAAATAATCACACAGGCTGAATTTTGTGTAGTTATGTGATGACACTGCCAGTACACCTCCGGCAGTTCTCAGGGTTGTCTTCTGAAATAGCCGAGGGGTGATGAGGAAACTCCAGTGAGAGGATGCCAGTGAGGTGGCTTAGGGCAGAGGAGTAGGCAGCGTGTGAGGATTTACTTGCAGAACAAACCCAAGTTGAGATAGAAGCTCTTTATGATGGTGTTTGCAAGTGGAAACCTGGACCAGTATATTGAAAATGGGAAAGCACTCAGTGAAAGCAGGCATAAATCGTTGAACAAACTCTTACTCAAGTAGCTGCTACTTACTACTCCTGAAGTATCTTTGTTACATACTACTTAAGCAGTGCTACAGTTGCAGTCAGTGGTATCAAAAAAGGACCGAGGTGCATGCAGGTTGACTTGGAGCATGAGAATGTGGGATATACATGGACAAACTGAGACAAAGCATAGATGAAAATATTGTCTATAGCAGTTACAGCTCAGTTTCAAAATGGGGACCAAAAAGAATCCAAGAATGAACTGTAAAAGACAAAAGCTTGCAAGCGCTTGTGTGTAGTTGAAATCGACAAACCTACTGGTGTTAGCAGGTCTTTGCTGGAGCAAAAGGGGAAGTTGCAGCATGGCTCTGAAAGTGAAAGGGAGGTCAGCTGCAGAGTAGGAATAAAAAAATCCGAAGTAGAAGTGAGCTGAAAGAAATGTACAGGGAAATACATCGGTGCTTGTCTATGCCTTTTGTTTTTCTTCTCCCCAGTATAAAGCAGCTTGACAAGTACAGTCAGCTGATCCTCACGAACTCCACTGCCGCAGACACGGGCGAATATAGCTGCTGGCTTCAGCTGTGCAATGGTAACAAGTGCAGGAAGGATGAGACTAAAACAGGCTCAACATACATCTTTTTCACAGGTAATTAACTCACTGGGGGGATTATTATTGGAAATATATTTGCTAGTGAGACAGGAATAAAGCTACATCAGCAATTTCCCTGTCAGGAATTTCCTTCCACCATTTTCATCTTTTTTTAATAGATGTGAAGGAAGACAGTGCTGGTGAGCAGAAAATTACTTGCTTAGTGTGATTTGTGAGTCCATTTTCCCTACGGATCATGCTAAATGTGTGCCCAAAATAATGCATAATCCAATGGAAAGCAAATACCTTTGAAAATACTAACACAGATTCTGAAGGATCTTCTACAAAATGAATTTAAAAAAAAAGTTTAATTTTTGAAACTATGTCTGGATAAAGAAAATAAATCTCTGCAGAAGATTCATTTTGTCATGGCATTCAGATGACCATGTGGACTTTCCACCCCAACCCCCCTCTTCCAGTTATCTGCACTAGCTTAAAAACCTTGACCTCATTATCTCGGTAAGGTCACAGTTTCTCCCAAGAGTGTATATAGCTTGTTGAGAGTCAAAACACTCTTAAGTGTGTGTGTTGTCCCACAGAGCTTGAGGTTGACTGTAGCCCTGACACTGCACGGATAGGGTCATAGTAGGTAGCTGTGCACAGTTTACTGCTGCTTGGTAAAACAGCGGGAATCAAATGGTTAATTTGTTCTTGTGGAAAATATTCTGAATGCTAAAACAACCTTCACTGCCTGACTAGAGCTAAAACATTCTTGGCTAGAAAATATTTTGGTACAAAATGCTAGGATAGGATTGTTTGTGGTATTGGAGCTAAATTAGGCCATGAGATTGTGCAGAAGCCATTTATCAGAAGTGCTTCATGTTCTGAAGATACATTCCTTTAGGAAGGCTGGAATGAAATTCTGTCGAGTTATTATGTAAATGCTCGTGCTAGAAAGAGGAATTTCAGCTTTATATTTCTAAGCAGCATGCCAAATATGGAAATATTCTTTAACTGTCATTCTAAAAGCACCAAATATTTCAGCTACTTAATGTAAATCAAGCATTTTGACTAAAATCATACGTATAAAAAGGCTATAGGTCCAAAGAATATCTCTTTCTAATAGTGTTTCTCTTACCAGTGGTGTTGGGGTTTTTTATGTGTGTTACCCTTTAAAAGCGGGTGAGTGAGGAGAATTAAATCCAGATGGGTGTTTGGAAACTTACTAAAAAGGCATTCCAAAGATTTTCTTAAGATTAAAAAAAATCTGATTACAGTGAAGAATACTTTATTGTTCTTTTTGATTTTGTTTTTAACACAAGCTTTGTAAACATATAGTCACAGATTAGAAAAGTTTTTTTTCTTTTGGGTGTGTGTATTTAAAGCAAAAAGCTTTGGGTTAATTTTTAATGTTGCTCTTAGCTATTTTCTCTTGTTGTATGTACTTTCTCTTCTTTCTGTTAAACTAAGTTGTAAATATTATTCTAACTGTATCAACTCTTCTTCACAGATAAAGAAGAACTTTTTGTACCTACTCCCAGTTATTTTGAGATTGTCTACCTGAACCCAGATAAACCTGCAGTCATCCCATGCCGTGTTACTACTCCTTCAGCAAAAGTAACTCTACACAGGGAATTTCCAGCAGAAGAAATTGAAACAGATGGAACTGATATTATTTATGATGTGAAGAAAGGTTTTGTCTACCAGCACCCTATTTCTGATCATAAAGGTATCGTCTACTGCAAAGCAGAGTCGCAGGGAGCACCTCAGATTTCCATCAAGTATCACCTACTGTATGTGGAAGGTAAGGTGCAGTTTTCTCTATGCTTACACTGATTCTTGTTTCTTCTGCTGACATTGTTTAGGAAACAATTTTTTAAAAATAATAATTGTACAATAAGTAATGTAATCACCATAAAAACTTGATCAGAAGTGTATGTGATAAAGCTTTGTAAGTTTAAATTCCAACAGTTTCCTAGTGTAGAGGGGGAAGTTGCAGGTGGGCATCACTCACCTGTTGTGTTAAGCAAACTGGGGCAAAAATTGACTCTTACATTTTATCAGTGTGTTTAACTTTAGAAACTAATTTTCTGCTTCCAAACACTGTCTTTCTATCAGTTCCCAAGGGTCCCCCTTCAACCACAATTGCAGCATCATCCAGTAGAGCAGAAGTCGGTGACAGCGTTCATGTCACCTGCACAGCCCTGGGGGAGCCAGATGTAGATGTGAGCTTCAGGTGGCAGTACCCGGGGCAAGAGGTAAGAGATGCTTCCCCCGGCTGAAATGGCTTGTTCTCCATAAAGGCACTGCTTCGAATGCCCGTCAGGATCTAGATTTGGAGTAAAGATTCTTCCAGACTGTGGTGTCTGCCTCTTGCTAGCTCAGGCATGCCGGCAGGAGGAGGCAGCACATTCTTTTTGAACTTCAGCCCATCTTTCTGTGAGAGCCTAGGAGAAGCACGGGAGTGAAGCTGGAGAGCTCTACCCGTCTAGTGAAAGTCAGGCTCAGCAAAGCTCACTCCTCCCTCAGGTTTCCATCCCAGAGGCACTTGGCCTCTGGCAGCATTTACAAAGAAAAGCTTCAGACAGGGTCAAAGCCAGCCAGCGTCAGGAAGCCATTCAAGGGCAAGCCACAAAGCCTCACTGATGCCTCTGCATTTGATATCCCTTCCATCTCCGTGGCTCAGGCACATGAATCATCACAGCACAGAATCTTTAAGCTGAATTGTTGCCCTCATCCAGAAGCAGAGAGATCTGGTTCTGCCCAGCCTCGTCTCTACTGCTGTTTATCCGAAGCAGGCTAGGTGCAAAGGAAGGACTGCTGGAAGATGGAACCCTTCACCAGAGGAAAGGAGTCCTCTTGGACCCTGAGAGTTTGCATTGTATTCCATTTGCCAGCCCGCCTGGTGCTGCTTTGTCAGAGACTGATGCAGAGCTTGCTAATAAGGTACTTGTATCAGCACTGGTCTCCTGAACCGGCATAGAATTAAGTAATTTAATGGCAGAGGTAATTGCTTAAGTGAGTGAGTGGAGTTCAGTGCTTACTACGCTTGAGAAAATTAAAATCTAAAGCTCCAGAAGTTTGCTGTAGTCATTAAGATAGAGACTAGCACTCTGCAGTCATGGAAGGTGCATGCATTTTCAGGGGGAAAAACAGTGGGAGAGCAAGTGAGCACAGAAGGGATTTGAACTGTTGGTGAGGGCACTGGCCACTTAGAACGAGGTTTCTAATTTTTGCTTAGATGTTAGTTGATTCTTTCACTTCCCCCTGCCTTCTGTCCACCTCACTTTTTTTTTTTGTTTGTTTGTTTTGGGTTTTTTTTCCACTGCTGCTGCTTGTCATAAGTGTCCCTGCTGAGACTATCAAAGTCTAAGGTTTTGTGAGCAATTACCAGCTTCCCCTCCCTGCCCTGTCCTGGTTGTTAAATGAGGGCAGCCTCGGCTGCATCTGGAGAGGGGCTTGGTACTGATAGCATGAATTAGGTGATCTGAAGTGTAACTACTGAATGAAACACCCCAAGACGTTGGCAGAAGAGTTCCTGTTTCTGGAGTCCATTTGAAGTTAGGAAGGAAAGGAGCAGCTGCCTAAATGAGCAGAGAAACTTGCAGCTGTTGGTGGAGTAAAAAGTCAAATGCAAGGGAAAACAGAAGTGCCTCCAGGTTTGGAGAGCTGCAGAGCAATAGTGGGTTTTGAGTTAAATGCCCAATGTCTTCATCTGAATTCAGCTCTTAGCATTACTCTGAGTGAGATGCTTCAAGAAATGGCAGTGTCTGTCCTTCAAGGAGGGGGACTTTAACTCTGACAGTCTTTATAACAATTCACTCTCTTGGGTGGAGAAGAGAAGTGCCTGTGTCCTGCTGATCACATTAGTTTTGTTGATTGATACATTTTTCTGGTGTTTTGGGTTTTTTTTTTAGCTTCCCTTGATGTCTCTTTATTGGACTGTAGTAACTGGCTGTACAAATCACTATTACAATTCTTTTGTAACTCATGGTAATTACTGAGTACAAACAAGTGAAGAAATTCTAGACTCAGCCTGGCCTTCCAAAACTCTGTATCTCACTAGCGCTACATCTTTCAGAGCCGAGTGGCTGCCCAGGCCTTGGTGCTGGTCGTCCTTGGCCCAGTTACTTCCCGTGGTCTTGGAGCACCCCGTGCAGCACCAGCACACGCACTAGTTGCACCTCTAGTGCTGACGGAATACAGACAGCTAAACACGGGCAAATTATCTCCCTTGTTTGCTGTGGGTACTGTGGCTGCAGTGCAGGGCCCACGTGCTATCCGCAGAGGACTGCACCCTCTCACTGCACCCACCCGTGGGGGCTGAGAGACTGTGGCCTGGGGCCTGCATCTGCACCTGCCCTGGAGAGGCCTGATGGGCTTATCCAGTGCAGTAAACAGTCTCAGCTCCAGCTGTGCCTGGGGATAGGGTGGGAAGAGTTGTGTTTGGGTTTCTGCCCCACCAAAATGATTAAGTAAATGCCAGAGCAGAAGCACTGTATGCTTGTTGGAGACTTAACATTTATTAAGGAAGTATTCACGTACTGCAAAGGAAAAAGAGGACCATCAGTGATGCTGGTCAGATACACCTTCATTTGTGCAAGAGAAAGGACTGCCAAAGTTCCAAAATTAACTGGATGTTTCCACTCATGGTTGCTGCTTTCAGTGCAGGGAGATCAGAGATAGTTTTCATTCCCCACCACCACCCCACCCAGCTCCTGGGCTGTCACCTACCACTTGATCCCCGAGCAAAAGCAGCACTTTAATCTCTGCTTGCTCCAAGGTACCTTGCATTGGAGAGACACTCCTTAATGTGATTCCCTGAGACCAGCTTCAAAGCAGAAGGCAATTAGTTTGAGAAAAACTGGGCTAGCAGGAGCCCAACCGGGCAAATAGCATCTGCCTTAAATGGCTTTTACCTTCACTTTCAGTAGGGTCAGGGAAGTTTCACTTGCTGTATTTAAGAGCTAATTTAGGCTTTAAGTGTGCGGTAGTATTTGATTGTAGGTAGCACTCGATTTTCAGGCTGGGAACAGGAGGCAGCACTCTGCTAGGTAGAGCTCTGCTAAGTGGTTTGATTCTTTCTCACAGGTTAAGAATTCCTAGATGAGATTTACCGTTTTTTCAAAAAAGTTCTTGCTAGCTGTAAATGCCTGCCACTTCCTAGGCATTCCCTGACTGCAGTGTGACTCATCTCTAAGCTGCAAGACTGGCAGCATCTTCAGTACTGGTCATTTGCAAATGTGAGATTATAGCTTTAGCTCTAGATAAGTGTATAATTTATAATTTTGCTACTATTAGCTTAAGCCTTGTAGCATTTATGTTGGTAAATGGCTAATCCATCTATTTCATGAAGCAAGAGGAGATGGTTTCCAAGTAGAAACCTCTCTCTCTCCTACCAGTTTTATCCCGGTTATTGGTATAGCACAAGCCAACATGGTTAAAGCTGCTGACTAGCATGATGGATTTTGGAAGGAGAGACTGCCTTAGTCTGTCTTTGAGCCAGTTTCTCTTATCCAGTCCTTTGCAAACTTCTGAGGTGCCAGGGAGTGTGACCTGATACACAGTCCACCAGAGAATTCTCTTACAGAACAGAAAAAAGAGCGCCTTTTATAAAAGCACCACCACCACCGATCTAGAAAACATTGTTCTAAGCATCTGTGTTTGTATTTTTGGCCTTGAAGTCACATACAGAGTTTGGAAAGCATAATGTGAGGATTAATTTAGAAGCATTTGTGAATTGCTACTGTTTGATTGTGTGTTATCTAATAGAGGGTTTCTGAAAGTAGAGGAGGAGGAATTGGTTTGCAACACATGATTTAAACGTATTCTCTGTGCTAAAAGAGAACTAGGTAAAGCTTGCTCAACTCACTCAGGCCGCTGCTGCCTCCCTTTTTGAGATGTGCTGAAAATCAGCTCACACATCTATCCTGACATCTCCCCGAGATGCTGCACCTCAAGTACCCCAAGGCCACCTTAGTAAGTACGCGGCCCACACCTGCCACTGAGCGCATTCGCACACTCCAAGCAGAGCTTTGGCAGCCCATCACTGATCTGAAGATACGCAGTCCCTGCGCTTACGGTGGAAGAGCCATTGTACTGTCCTTATTTGGCATAACTTAGTGGTATGTAATATTTAATGCAGGAATGTTGCTGCAAGTGCCAGACACCTTCAGTTTCCTCACTTACGGTGGACTTTTGGATATAGGCTCCTACTGCATGACCTCGTTTCAGGGCTTGATAGGGTAGTGTCACTAAGGACACTTTGCAGAATCACTCATTTTCTTATGTGGGTGGCTTGTATTTTTTTTCTTTTAAACAGTCTGAGAGACCTGTGATTATCCAAAACTTCTGGAGATTGATAAACAGAGGAACAGGACATACCACAAGAATCTCAAAGAGCATTCTTCTTGTTGAGGATTTTGAAGCCAGAGATGTTGGAAATTACATTTGTATAGCTCAGAACCTACAAGGAGAAACGACGGTAGCTACTAAAGTGGAACTAAATAGACAGGAAAGACTTCTGGAAGTACAATGAACTGTATGTTATTTGACATTATAGCCATTTATTTTCTCTATTATGTTTAAATGAAGTTCTCTCTATCAGTGTCTCTTTCATATGTCAACGCATTCCATATTTACTAGCTCAGCAGGCCACAACAGAGTTCCCTATGCCCAGCAGTAGTCAGCTGTGAGCTAATAGAACTATGAAGCATTAATTCTTATGCCTGAACATGCATAGGGTTTATTATATTTAGGAATAGGTGCTCTTGGTCTTTTTCCTCTAACTGTTTCCTAAGGTTAACCCACTGTATGGTTTCTGCCTTTTTTGGGTATGTGATATCAAATATCCTCAAAAATCTACCAAACAGGTGGATTTCTTCTGGTGCTGAAGGATTTTGAAGTTTTAGAGTACTGTACATGTTTAAAATAACAACAAAACAAACCCCAAAAAAAAGTAGTTTCAGTCTTAGCCAATAGCAGATGTTTATTTTGCAAGAATAATTAAATTTCTGAACATTACGTAAATGTGTGTGTACGTGTATGTGTGTGTGTTCATTTCATGTATGTATAAAAACTTAAACAAATTATATTCTCACTCCTGGGGAAGATTAATACTAAATATATATTATGGTGCTAGAAGGGTATCTCCAGAGACTTGTAAGTGGTTGGATTTTCCTTATAATATGTAGCTGAGAGTTCACTCCTCAACAGATGTATGGTGTTAGTTTTACTAAAATATGTAGCAAATCATGTTTGCTAAAGGTAAAACTTGCATTTATTTACACAGTATCATTTACAGGAGAAAAAACCCACAAATGTAACATTAGAATAATATTCGATTATACAGCAGAATCTCTTTTCAGGTTAAGAGCAAGTCCAACTCCATTGTATTAATTTACCTAGGAGAAAATAAAAGATACTTCATTTACACAAAACTGTATCTGGATAAATATGCAAGTGCTTCTCTCACCCTGGGTTTAGTTATCAATACAAGGGAAGAGACTTTGCAGAGAAAAAGTAAGAACTTAATAACAATGTTGTTGGATGTTCTGGCAATGTTCTGTTTTTTCTTCCTAGCCTCAAGCGCAGAGTCTGTGTATGCTAGAACTTCCAATACATGTCTACTCAGTAGTGTAGTTGTGTGACAAAAAAAAGTCTTCATGCAAGCCATTTTAGTTACAAGGCATGTGAAAACCAGCATATTCTGAGCATACAAGGAACCAAAGCAGGAACTGGTCCATTGCTTGCACACTTCAGTGTGCCCGGAATTCCTGAAGCGTTCTTCTGGTGAAGGCTTGAAGCAAGCCCTTTGCTCCGGGTAATTCAAACCTCTGAGCAGATGTGTACAGTACTGTTTGGAGTAGTGATATCTAGCAAGTACTAGTGTAAAAATGGCAGCTTTCTCAATAATGTCATTAACCTGGTTAGTAGCGTAGCAAAGGAAGCACTGAACAACTTTGCTGGAAGTTTTTTCTTCAGCATGCGGGAACCTAAACCAATATAACCGATGATAAATACCCATGGTATAGACTGAAATGGCTCTGTGCATGTCTCATGAAACAGGCTTCATGGAGAACCTCTGGAAACAAGAGAGCTACAAAAACCAAAAAATTAAGTATAGCAAACAATGGGACCGATGGTAGAGGCGTAAGAGGCAGTCCCTTGTTAAATCTCTTTTTTCATTGCTATTAAAAGGTATCAAGAATGTTATGCTGTTACCCAAAGGACTAGGTAGTTGTTACACAATTTGATAGTAATACCTACAAGAGGTATTTGTACCAGTATTTTTTTTTTTTTAGGTAACACTTCAGTCTGACCAAAGCAACTTTAACAATCCCTGAGCTTCAGGATGAGGCTGTGCAATGTATTCATTCTTTTTTAGCATTTTAATTTATTGGAACACTCTATTTCCCTTTGAACTATGGGATCTGTGCCAGCTTCTTACATTTCAAAGTGCTTTTGAGCGTTCAATTCAACAACTGATTTCCTTTAAAATTCCTAGCAAGTGGGGGATGGTGCCACCTGTTCAGACTTGTGCAACAGCACAGTAATTTAGGTGGTTGCATCACTTCCTTGACTGACAGTTTGGCAGGAGAGGAAAAGACCAGGTAAAGCCATGGCTGCATTGTTGCTTGAGTAGTCTCCCTCAGGTTTAATGGTCGTGTGTACTGAGCACATGCAGCTCTCAAGATTGATCCTAACTACCGAAGCAGTGCCTTTAAAGAAGAATTTTTGGTGGTGTGTCATGTTTCCTGCCCCTCCCCCCCCCCCCCATTGCAAACATCAAAATAATTCTCACCATTGTAAGCTATGAGAAATATTTTACTATATATTTTAAATAGTTCTTATTTTACCAAAAGCCTTCTGGGCAGGCCTGATTCTTTTTACATTAATGCAGTTACACATTTCCACCTAAATGAACAGTGACACAGGGCAAGAGAATGAAGCCTGGGAAATGAAATTCCAGGGACTTGTCAAAGTCACATGCCTAAACGTGCCAGTATTGCTATTTCTATTTCCATACTTCAGTCGCTGCTCTGCTAAGGCAAGGCCTCAGCAATGGACAGAAGGTCCTTGTTTAAGGGTTCAAGGATTATTCCAATTTTCTGAGAACCTTTTTAACTCCAGCTCAGCCCTAACTGATTTACTGGCTGTTAGGCAACTACAGTTTTAAAGATCAGTGGCTACTTACTGTCAAGAAAGAATTTCCTGCATGAATTGCACGATACCAGTTTACATGCAAGTGTCTTAGGTGTTTGTAATGTGAAACTTGAAGTCTTCAATTAGCATAAGGAAATGATTCATCCTAAATTTTACAGCAAGTAGTGCAACTCATACAAAGACCTTTAGAGAAGAGCATTGAAGGGAGGTGAACCATGTTATGAATAGTCTGAATGGCAACAAACTCTATGGTACAGATATCTCACTATAACTTCCTTTGAAACTTGTCATTAGAGTTGGAACTACTAGTTAAGGGTGAGTATCCGAAAAAAAATCACTTCATGGCTTGATTTTAATTGATTGGTTAGCACTAGACCTTTGGCATATAACTGTGGTGAGCAGGTTTCTGGCTTTTCCTGAAGGAAACTTTATGCTAAAGAAATTACCAAAAAATACACAGAAGTTACTGCATCAAACAAAACCTTTACTAACATATGGTATTTTAAGTTAAAGCTTGAAACATTAATACTCAAACACTGAAACAGTGCTTGTAGATGAAGGGAATTATTTAGTTGTTTTGGACCAACAGGACAAACACTGAACAGTTATTTCTGTAGTCTGATTTCTATATAGAAGGATTCTTCAGTTCTTTGTAAGAGCATTAAAGATTCTACTTGCAAGAATTTTAGAGGTGAGGAGTCTCCTTTACTTGGGAGGGAGACTCAACAAATTAACAGTCTTTGTATTATTTACTATACCGTACTCTTCTGTACTGCTAGCCTGGAGAAGCCTTCCCCTTCTCTCTGTTACACGAAGAGGTATGCATTATTTGATCTTCAGCCATCCATACATACTCTTCTTGCATGTTTTATTTGAGGCACTAAACATTTCAACTAAGCTAATAAAGTTCTTCACAGTGGCTAGACAACTGTTCTTGTGACGTGACCTGTTAGATTGCTGAGCTCTAGGTGGCTTTTCTCACACACAAAGTTTCCTGAATCAGGTGAGCATTTTAATAAGATGAGTCCTGTAGGATGCTGTTACCAGGCATATATGCACATTGTATCCCTATATTAAGCCAACTATACTCAAGTATTTTTTTATTGCTTAATTCTGTAATGTTACCTCTTTTTTTTTTTAAACAGCCAACTCAAACTGAATTGCTAATCACCACAAGCAAGCTCTGTGTAACTTCTACCTACGTTAGAGTAGCAAAGGTAGAGTTAAAATTTTCTGAGGGTTAGCTGAACATTAATAATTTGTGCAGTGAAGCTTCACTATTGCTGTTCTGCTGTGCTGAGCAGGTACTAATTGGTTTTCGCATTTGGAGGAATGTTCCTCCTTAGATTAAAGATCATTTGCTAATACAAGCAGGAGAAAAACCCTTCCATCAGTACAAAAAAAATTTATTTTTTAAGCATTCAGCTCAAATACATCTGATCAAATCTCTTTGACCATAGAAGATAAGAATGTTCCAAGATATACTTTAAGCCAAGTTTTAGCCCACAGAGTATTTTCTTAGTTAAATTTGAAGCCCCTAGAAAGCATTAAGTACTGACACCACTAACAAGTGGTATGTTCAGTGCCCTAAAGAGAATTAAAAGCGACCATAATGTTCCATAGAAATGGCACCCTTAACTTGTACATTATGGAAAATTAAGTAAATTTAATGATTAAATCATCTTTTATTACAAGTTTACTTACTGTATGAGCACTGTTAACAGTCTTGTTTATATGTCTGTGTTCCTCATTATTAGCCAGGATTTTTCAAGTCTTGGGTAAAATGGTTTGAAGTGGTTCTCCAGTTGAGCTCCCTAAACACTTTCCAGCCCCTTGACTCCTGTCCCCAAGCTACTGAAAAACACAGGGAAATGCAGCAGGTAAGATACAATTTGCCATAACAGTTCCCAGTACAGCCAGCTAACAGCATCAGCTAAACAGCAGTATAGCAATGGTCCTGGCAGTGGTGCCGTAAAACCCAAGCTATTGGGAGCAGAGATAGTGTTTTGCAATACTAATTTTAACTTGTGTTTAGTAGGGACATCTTAAACAGGTCTGACCAAGGGTGGAGCGAGGCTACGCAATTACCTTGTTGAAGCTCAAGCTCAGTGTGTGACACTTCCAGAAACGCTGACACCCTCAGACTGCAGTTCCATTTTTTTCCCCTACTCTACAGAATCTCTTGTACAGGTTCTTTTGCCAGACGAACTGGCAGAACAGTGATATCCTGCAGTCTAAGAGGGAAGGTATGGCAGAATTAAATACACAGCTACCACCTTCCCCTTCAAGTGAATTTAGTCAACCCTGAAGAATGTTAATACAAATGCTAATGCTTAAAAAGACAGTGTGTCACCAGATACACTGGAATTCACAAATTAAGGTTTCTCTTGAGAACTGAGTTAAGAAAGCACCTAATGACAATTATTGCATTTTTCTCTTTGGCTTTCAAATCTGTATCTAGTTTATCCTCAGCTGTCAGCCTCCGCAATGTACAGTCTGTTCTGGAAAAATAAGCGATTCCATTTCAGCAGGTAAGATAAGCCTAGGTTTCTAAACCTGCAATTCAACTAGTAACTTCTGACCTTGAGAGCTCCCGTGGTTTTGTCTATGACCCTGTTGACTTGAAAACCAAAGTCCACTGTATCCTGCAAAAGGAGCCTCCTTGTAAATGGCAGAGCTGTGCATGAACGTTAAACCAAGAATCCATGCAAAATATGGCTGCAATTCAGCTTGTTTTTAAAATTAATTCAAAGTTGCATACTCAGGTCAGCCAAGACACTAATGAGTCAGTTGACAAAGCTTTTCATGCCATTTTTTTTTTACCAAACCGAAGCACAGAAAGATGGAAGAAACTAACCTATAGTACTAGTGGCAGTTTCTCCTCATTGCCGGGTGTGGGGACTCTTTGCTAAAAGCATGCATGCTGACAGCGTTATTAAGGAAGTACATGTCAATGTATAGTCTTCAGCTTTTATCCTTTATTCCGTACACAGCAAAGAAGGCAGCATTAGACACACGCACAGTGTGTTACATCCATTCCATCCACAGCACACGCACGCACACACGCACACACACGGCCTTAAAAAAAAGTCTCCGTGGTAAGGAACATCTTATAAAGGTTGTGATCTTTATCTCTAAGCCCCTGAGCTTTATCTTATAGTTAGGTGAAAAGGCAATGAACAAGTCTTTCCTTGCTCTGTAAGTGCTTTGTGCAACAATGTCCATAGAGGTCACAAGTCTTTTGGGGAGGATCAACATGAATGTCTTACTCCCGTATTCTCAGTCTCTTATCACCATTTTTGCACCAAAAATAGTTTCCAGTTACATTTAGTTGTCATACTTGGCTAATATAGCTTTTGCTCCTGTGATTAAAGTTAGGATCGGTTCTGCAGATCACAAATGAAATGCAATCCCCTCTTTCTCTCAAGAAATGTCATCTCGGTGATACTGTAGGACTAGAGAAGTTTCCAGAATTTCGTGGGGACTGAAGAGGCACAGATGGAGAACTGGGAGACAGTTTTCTTGGGCTGCATAGGTCACCATTGTGCAACTTCCACAGAAGTTCTTCATTTTCCATGGACAGGCGTTTGTTTACTTTTGATTCTTTCTCTAGTGACTCCTGTAAAACAGCTTGCTCCGTAGAAAGTTGCCTGCAAACATAAGCTTTACATCAGGACACGGAACCCAAGGCAGAGGCTACAGTATTGAACTTAATTGTTAAAGAAGGGTTTGAAAGTGCATAAACCCCTGCCTGGCTTACAACTAAATTACTTCCTGAAAAGGAGGATTTAGCATGTTCTCATCCTTTCAGGATTTAAACTGGTAGCTTGCAGAAAGCAGGAGAAAGTCCCAATAAGAAACATCCCTAAAGGCCAGAAAAAGCATCTGAAAAGTGAGACTTGTCCTATATAGTGGCAGATGCTTTTAAATGGCCACGCTGGAGCCTCTGGATCTTGTTGCAGGCTCAGCTCTATATAGAGGCTGTATTTCTGTAGTCTCCTTCCAACTGGAAGAGTTTGCCCATACATTTCAGCAATAGTTGAAGTTAGGAGAACATCAGACCCATTTTATTCATGTTAAATACTGGTATTATTGCTAAATAAAACACATTGGTCTTTTCACTGATCTAAATTGGGGACAAGTCACTCAACAGAAGTGGTTAAAAGTAAAACTAGGTTTAGCTCACAAGCCAGTAATACTTAAAGAGCCAATTTATCCTTAAGATGGTATTTCCAGGTTGTTTTTTCTTCCCTGAAATATTTTTTCTGGAGCACTGAAGAACATCCTGAGCCTTTACCCCCTTACAATCTGCACATAGGAATGTACATTTGTAGAGGTACAAGGGGGGAAGAGGGACATGTTCTTTTACAGAGTACTACAAAATCCCAGCCACCAACATTTACACAGGATTTTCTTTCTTGTCACAGGAACACCTTCCCCTTGTTCATAAGAACACCTAAAAGTCCACACATTTTTCACCTGGAAAGCTCCATGTGTTTGTCCATCCGAGCTTTTAATTCCTCATTTTCTTGCTGAACCTTCTTTAGTTTATCCATTAAGATCGTGTTGTTCTCCAGCTTCAAAAAAGGGCACAGTTTAAAACAAAACCCACATATGCACTCATCGAAATACTGGCTGAGCTATCGCAGACGTTCATAACCTGGAGTTTGCAGACCTTGTTATGGTAAGTGCAAAAAACTGGAGTAACGTGAGACCAACCTGCTAGCACGGCTTAATAACCTGTAACAGTCAAATCGACCCCACTTACCCTACCCTCACTGGCACCTTGCCACTTGTGCTGATTAGATGCCAACAAAGGAGAACCAGGTAAGGGATCTACTGTAGTTAACCAGCACGTTCTAGTAACTTCTGCCAGTGATGGGCAACAGTTTTAGAAGCTGTTGCAGACAGGAGACTGTCTAAAAAAACCCCGTGCTAGTGTGATAAACTCAACGGGGGTAAACGGCTCTCCCTGTTGCTCTCCAGATTCCACTTCACTGCTGCAGGATGTTTTCAAAAGTTAAGGAAAAAAGTGATTCAAATGGTTGGATGGACCAAGGGCTTCTATACTGTGGCCAACATCTTGTAAAAAAAGATGAAGGTTTACTAGTAATTTATGAGTAATTGTAGACCAGGGCAATGTGATGCTGTACAATACTGAACAACTGACATGAACGTATTCCTTTGTATCCAAACCTCTTTCTATACTTCCTCATTAAAATCTTGCTTAAGCAAGTATTACAACAGCCTTCAAAGGCCCCACCCAGGATAAGGACCCTGCCCTGCCACAAATAAAAGCATGCCAAGTAATTACAAGTTCTGCCCCCAAAATTGCCTGTTCATGGGGAATTACGCACAGATCAGGAGTAAATCCACACAGCTGAGGAAGTAGCTTAAAGATAACAGCTAAAATGATGGACCTAAGCTCATCAACTCTAGAAATATGTACTCCATTTTGTATTTGATTCCTTCTTGTTTAAGCTGGATCATTTCCACGTTAATGTTTTCCTGACAGTGCAATCTGTCTTCCATAACGCCCAAGCAAACATAGCAGGTAAGGTTCTTTTCCTTCAGGAGATGGGGGAGAAGAGAGGGAAGAGGAAAAGGAAACGTGGAAGAGTCTCCCAGATAACCCTGTTCTAATTTAGCAATAGTTTTTTGCAAGCCAGTAGTTGTCTTAAGAGGTTAAAAGGTGATTTACAGCATCTGGTGATTCCTTCCCCCGCTTTACATTACAGCCCAATGCAGATATAATTGTACCTGCAATGGGAGCACTTCCCATCATCATTTTCTGTTTCCTTTTCAACAACCAAGAAAAATTAATCCTTGCATGTAAATCTGACCAGCCCGACTTCATTATCAGAACATAACTCAGACAGACGGTCCAAACCCGCCAGCCCCCAAGGAATACTCACCAGTTTTTCCATCTTCATTAGCTTTATATCCTGCTGACGGAGTTTCTCATTCTTTATCTCCAGCACTGCTTTCAAACTTTCCAGCTCCTGTTCCAGATACATAATCTGTGGGTTTTTCTGAAAAATTTCCACAGAGTTTGCTTAGTACCCTGAATTTCAGGAAAAATTTAAGTATTTCTCTGCTATTTAGAAAGAGCAAGAAAGTAAGTATGGTAATGACAGTTACTTGTTCTAAGTGAAATCAAGTTGAGAAAAAAAAAAAAAAAAAAAAATCAATCTGATATCACTTTCTCTTCTGATTTTGTTTGTCCTTCAGCGTGGGTGGACAGTTGCAGTTTTCCTTAGCAGTTGTTCAGAAAACACTTTATGCTTAAACATGAAAAACCCTTGTGAGTCAAAGGAAGGCACTAAAGCTGTCACAGCAAAACTTGTTTTGCAGGAGTGCCCAAAGGCTCCCTTTAAGGCTAGGAGTTCCAAAAGGTATTTCATATTACTCATAACCTATCCCCAAAGGTAATTAGAGTAAGCATCTGAAGAGTTTTCAGGTGCTGGAATAATTGAAAAGGCACCAGAAATTTAAAGCAATGAACTTGACTGTAACTGATTTTCCCTGGCTTGAGTCTGAGGGTACCTGGTTCATAAGCAGAAGTTGAAAATTTTCTGGTTTACATTCTTCTTAAAGCCTAGCAATGCAATTGCACATAAAAATCTTGCACTGCTGTACATCCGTGACTTATCTACAATACAGCAAGTTAGGGCTTTTATTTTTCCTTTTTTTGTTGTTGTTTCCTAGGAGGTAGAGGGGAGAGCAGGAAGGGAACAGGGCAGAGTCAGATCTGGTTTCCTCAAGGGACCTCTTTTCCAGAGCCAGGAACCATTCAAACACTAGAGTGAAACATATGCTCCACATTTCAGAGGCAAGGTCACAGGCAACATTAAGGACAAATAAAGGAAATCTCAGTCCGTTTGCAGGTAGTCTGAGTGGAACACAAACAGAAATCAATCAATGATTAAGTGTGTTGTGTAACCAAGTTTATCCTTAAAAACAAATAGAACCTGTTTTAGCATATTTGGGTAAGAATACTGGTGCACTGCGTTGAGCAACAGCTTCAGTGCTGCACCAGAAGCCCCAGACAGAGGGCAATGCCTGCCGTTCCGTGGGGCGCAGTCCCACAAGGACAGAGCCAGCACATCTCACGGGCAAGGGCCTTACCACCTACACGTTTAATTCTCCTGCCTGTTTTTAAGGAATGTGGCATTGGTGATTCTTGTTTGGATCTTTACTTTTGAACAGAAGTCCACGTGAGGGTGGGGTGTGCTGTGCTGCCTCAGAGGAGGCAGCGGACAATTCCAACTTCATTCCTCCCTTTTGTGGCTTTAACACAGAATCTAGGAGCTAGCAAGAAAAGTTTAAATGCAGCTTACAGTAGGTTCAAAATTTAATCCGTTTTTTTTTCCCTCTCCCTCCTCTGACCCCATGGTCTTAAAATGTCTTTTTAAAGTTAAATCTGAGCCACCGCATTAACTACTCATAGAAGAACACAGAGCCAGATAAAAAGACTGAAAGGCCTACGTGAGATATTAGCCGAAAAGCTGAGAAGATCAAGTGCCACTATCTAAATAATACTGGAGCGTTGGAAATACACCTCTGTCTTCAAAGGGCTAATGGGATTTCTGATAGTGCAAAATAATACACTGGGTTAAATCTGTATCTTCCCATAGAGAAGCCTCAAGTTTATGAGGGTCTTATGCTGTCAGGACGTAAGGGTCATTTGCATCTACGTAAAGGCACTTGACTATTGCTCCTTTAAATCAAACAACATCTGAGCATGCCTAGGGAATAAGGTTCAAAGCTCCCAACTGCAGCGTACAACATGTTCTCTTTGGTATCATCTCTCTCTCCCATCCACAACAACATACTGTGGTTGCAGAT